ATATATGAGTAATGTTGCGTAGTTCAAAGCTAGACAGGTAAATGAGGACATTGTTTCCATTGTTTAACAGTTTCTTAAATCTGTTCACTCTGGAAGGAGGAGTATGTGCTGTGCTGAATGCAGTGTCTCCAGTTTTTGTTTACACCCTCATATGTGTCCTCATCCCCCTTCGTCCCCTCCTCTGGTAAACATCAGAACATCCTGAACGTTTTCATGTTTACTGATCAATCCCATCATTCCGGGTAGCAAAATACATCAAATTTGTGGGGGAAAAAAGAGGCGCTTGTTTCCCAAAGTGCTGTGTGTGACTTTGGTATCTTCTGTTAAACACGCCGTTAAACTGTCACATTGACCGCGCTCCTGAGCCAATCAAAGGGCAGTACGGTGTGGGATTGGACGAGCACGGAGTCTACCTGGAAAATGCCTAGATGGGGGGAATGAAAGACACATAACCAGGGGGGACAGAGAGGGGTGGAGTTGGGAGGGATGCTAATGTTACAGTAGATGGGTTCAATGCTGGTCACTGGACCGCTTTCTGTTCTTTCTTGATACAGCCCATCTTCAGAGCTAACCTACCTCAACTAAGCTCCTTAACTAAGCTCTTTTTGGTTTCTCCCTCACAACCATAAGGCTCCCTCTCTCTCTTACGCCTGACTGATCCTTTGCAGATCTCTTACTGTACCCATCTAAAGTGGCATGCTTTGCAGTTTTCCCTCATCTCTCCCCACTACTGATTCCTCGTCCCTTTGCCTTCCCTTATCCATAACAAGCAGGCCTAATCCGGCCAGAACTCAGTTACACACTCGCATGCATGCCTTGCCTGCCTCCCTGGTCTCTCGCTCCTTTTTCTCTTTAACTGTTATCTAATTATTTTTCCACTCCTGTTCTAACTCTGTTATTTGAAACAAAACGCTCTATTTCGATGTGAGACTGCTGTTTTTCACCTCGCTTTCTCGGGTGAGGACCCGTAGGCAAGCTCTCAGAAAGTTTAGCTGACTTTCCCTCAGAGCGCAGCACTGGATTATCAGGCTTGAGTTACCAGTCAGCTACACCTACAGCAAGCTCTGACATCCAGATTGTGTCATTGCTTGGATTTAGACAGCGGCAGCCAAGATCAGACCGTCCGAATGTCTAACCAGAGAAACACACACTGATGCATCTTGAACTTTCTCACACAAACAACAGGTTCACATAAATTATTGAGCTAGATTTTACAACTTTACAGTTTCCAGGGTGCAAGTGCAACAATGCTGTTTCTATTAGTTTGTGATTCGTTTAAAATTCAGAATGCCACGAAGTGGGTTGCAACAAAAAGGCCTCCTTAATCTCCTGGCTAAACGGATGATGACGACTTTGAAATGTATGCAATATTTCAAAGCATTTATGTCCACAATTGATGGCAAAGATGTGGCAGACTTTGAAGAACATGCTGAGACTTCAATCCAACTCCCTGTGGGCCTAACAGTGGGCTCCAAGGATCACAAAGTAAAATGCATACTATGCATTTTCAATCTACAGTAAGCGGCTAATACACCTTTGCACAAAGTCGGATGGATTTTATGCAAATTGCTGCCACCTCAAGGACAGGTGATTCTCTATGGTTTGATGACTTGATCTGATCATTTCTTTTTAAACTATGCACGCTCTGAAGGCATAGTATTGATTGCAGCCTATGGAAAAGTCGTTTACAGAGCCCGCAAAGCATGTTTGCATAACGGAGAATGTGAAAGTTATAATCACCAGAGATATGATCTGCGCTGAAGATCAAACCAGCGCTGTTCTTTGTTCAGAGACTGGTGGCAGTAGCTTAAAGTGGAAGGTTCCTTACGATTGTTGTTATTTACACTGTTAAACTGCAGGACTCGTGTTTTTGCTCACTTGTGAGTACTGCATTCCCTCAAACTTTGTAGAAGTACCTCAACTAAAATCTATTATCCGTTAATATTAGAGCTACAATAAAGCTTTAATAAGGGATGAAAGGGAAAAAAAAGGATAGTCTGAGTAGACCTAAAAAACACGGATATTTTGCAAATTACATTATTGCACATATATTCTTATTATACACTTTATCTTGTTCCGGCAAGGGTGGTCAACATATTTCAAGACTTTTTTACCTTCTTAGTCATTGTTCTGATATTATTAAAATAGTGGTTTACTGTATTTTTCTTTGCCAAAAAAATTTGAACAATTAAATAGATTGCTAATATGAGATTTGTATGCAGTAGGATTAATCTCGTACCTTGCACTTATCAATCAGCATTCAAACAGTTAATATAGAATCAGAGCAGACTAAATCCGTTCATCATTCGTCTCTACTTTTAGACGTGTTTTGTCAGATTTAGAGTGAGTTTCTGTTAAGGGTTTCCATGTTTCTCACCGCAATAAACAAAGAAGAACAAATTGCTTGAGATTAAATCCCTACTGAATATGAAAGACTTAAAACTTTAAAACCATGGAAACTCAATGAGCAGGCATTTTCTGGGGCGCCTGAATAGGATAGGATGAACATAATGCCCATGTGTCTCGCAGCAACAAATGTGGGCAGTGTTTCTGTAGACGGTCGGCTATCTCGTGGGTTCCAATGAGCGAGCGCTTCCTTAAAACAAAACTTGGCATTGTGGGCAGAAGAACAGCAGATTAGGTATTTTGTGGAGTGCTGAGAGCATTGGGAAGAATGGGAACATGCGAGTAAATGCTTAGGTGTACTTAGTTTGCAGTGGAGGAGGAGGAGTGGTGTTTTAAAGCTTGATGTGTCCCCCTGAAGGTTGGATACACGGAGTTAGCAGCAAAGTGAACTTAACCACTACTGGGTATGTGATGAATGCCCTTGAGCATATCATATCTCGGAGCAAAATACCTTTTTTTTAAAGATTACATGGGGACTGGCGTGACCTTGTTTACAGGGACTCACTGTTGAGTTTTTAGCTTGTGTCTCCCGTCTAATTCAATGAAACATCTGTAATAGGCCACTAACTATCTGATAACCCCCGGAGACAGGGGGTTGTCAGGGGGTTATCTTCATGAACGGAGCCTCCTGTCCGGTGGATTAAGAGGGACAGAAAAGGCCTGACTTTGTGAAGTGCTCAGCTGAGATATGAAAGTTTGTAAAGGTAGTGCCACAAGGCTGTTTCAAGGACTTACATTATCTGACATATTTTACTTTACTATTTGTCATAGTTTGACTTGCAGATAATCTCATTATTAATTTCAGTGTAGAGGACTCTTTGGAAGTTTTCATCCAGCATCTTTAAAATGGATGAGAATCACAAACACACCCACTTGATTATTTCTGGCAAAGGAGGCCTGGAGGCTGCAAAATCTGCAAGTCAGCTAAAGCGAGCAGGTTTTTTACTTTTGGATTCACAGCTCAGTTGCTTGGCAGCAATACATTATTTATAATTATTAAAGTGCAAACATATTGGTGCAACAAAATCATTTCATTCCCCGCAACAAATAAAATGCACAATAAGTCGATCTTCATCAAGAGGTTGGTTTCTGCAACACAAGTAGTCTCTGTCTTGGTTTATATTTGTGTTATTTGGCTAAAGTACAATTCCAACACACCTTGTGAGACCACCACTCCTCCATGTTTGATTATCAGACGAGGCTTCATGGTGACATTCAGCCCCTCGACTGGTCAAGCGTGTGTAAAGATTCCCTGACCGAACCCTTCCTTACAGTGTAGTCGAGCTTTTTCAGTGTCCACACATTACAGGGAACCGGGGAAGGACGGCAGATGTGTGTAAACGTAGGGTGATTCAAGGGGGAATGAGAAATACACGTTTTTTTTCCAAGCTGCCATCAGCGTTGTGCAACTTTCCAAACAGTGCTGTATGTGCTTATACTTACAAAATAAGTCATGTGTGCGGCTCTGTAAGGCTGTTCTCTGGCACAGTTGTTCCTTTTAGCTAAATGCTAAAGTCTGCATGCTAACATGCTCACATTGACAATGTTAACATGCTGATGTTAAGCAGGTATAGTGCTAATCACGCTCACCAACTTAGCTTAGCGTATGAGCATGCCAACATTTGCCAATTGACAATTAACACAAAGTACAGCTGAGTCAGTGAATATATATGTTTTTTATACTTCTATACATTATAAAGTGCTTATATTATGAAATTGTTAGAGTCCACCTGGAGTGTGCATCTGCCGCTTGCTTTACTTCACTTATTGGCTGAGCTGTTTTTTAATTAGGTCATCATCACTTTGAGTTTAATCTGCTCATGTTTACTACAACTAACACACTCCCAGAGGAGCATCCCAAGTTATTTGTCCCCGAGTAATCTCAGCCAGCGCTCAAATTCATTTATATCAACAAGACTTGCACTCGTTGAAAAGTTGTTTTAATTTGCTTTTGAAACCAAAATACAGGAAGAAGAGGGGAAGTGCTGCAATTGTACGCAGGCGATAGCGGCAGAAGGTTAGCTTTTGAATGTGGAGGAAGTCATTTGCTTTTCTGTGACAGCTAACCGGCGTAGGAAAGTAGAAACAGAGGCGAGTTTGTGGTTCACCGAAAGGAATTTTGAAACATAGATGTTAAACATTGACATTAAAAGTCTCTTTCCTCCTAACAGAGTGTAATACCTCAAACAGCTCTCTTCTGCTGTTCTTGTGTTGAAGTAGTGTGTCCTGCTGGTTACACAGATGTCATGTACAGTATGTGAGGCGATTCACTCCAAAACCAGATAATAATAATAATAACCCTTTTAAGAATGACGCCTAAAATTTTAAGATATTTGCTGATAATAATCTGACACTTTTCAGTGAAAAGCATTGAGATTGAAGATAGGTATGTTGCATTCATACTAACTTTTTAAGCATAAAAGCTTTCCTTTTGTAAAATAATAACAAAATATTATATATTGTAGTGTTTTTAGTAGCATTCCGTCAACATTTCAAATATTGCTGTGTGTGTGTGTGTGTGTGTGTGTGTGTGTGTGTGTGTGTATGTGTGTGTGTGTGTGTGTGTGTTGGCAGAGGTAAGTGTGTTGCTCTCTCACATTTGAACCATCAGTACGATTCTGTTTTTGTGTTTTCAACTTTGGCCGCGGTGTTTCTTCAGGACTCGTCTTATGCATCATGAACTCATCTACTAAACAAAGTTAAGATATTGGATGACTGAGAATCATTCATGAGTCCACATGAACTGAAAACATCCCGGTGTCGACAGGACCAGTAGATACATTGGTGATCATTTGAAGAGATGGACGAGGAAGGCTGTCGTCAGCGGTTCATGTTGTTGACTTGTTCGGTTGCAGATGGAGCCATTGAGATTATTTGTCTTCAGTTGTGTGAATCGTGCTGTACTCCCTCCTCTAACCCACCACAGATGCAAAGTTTCAGAGCTCATTTGGATGCTCAGAATTATTGTATATACAATACAGAAGTGGATAAAAGCATCATCTCTGAAATCGCTTCAGTAATTGATTTCAGGATAATGCTTTCGCTGCGGAGCGTCTGTCAGGGAGAATTTAACAGCGGGGGATGTACCTCTTGTCCTGGAATAGGTTGAAAGTGGTGCCAGCTCTTCCCCATGCTATTCCAAAACTTGATACAGTATATTGAGAGCCTTAAAATGCTATTGATTAGCTCCCCATTCAGCCTCTGTCTCTATTCCCACATTACTGTTTCTGCTCTTTTTTTTTTTTTTAGAGTAGAGAATTATTGAAATATGGGTGTTGAAAATATATTTCCACCATTAAAAAAAACCAGATAATAAAACAGGAAGCATTCTCTAAAATGTTTGCCTTCTGCATTTTTGTCAAAGCATATCTATGGGGGTGTATTTACAACAGCAGGCTGCTGTAATAATACATTGTTCACGGCGCTAAAAGGTGCAGCACATTTCTGCCTGCCTTGAAGACACTGATTCACTCTCTCCTCGCCTTGATGGCAAGATGAATGAAATTAACATACTAGTCACTTGTAATTACAATATTTTGCCAGCTGATCAAGTTTAGCCCCCTGGCAGCTATCAAAGGGCAGCTGGCGAAGTGTTGGGATGCAGGTAAAAGAGACAGGGGTGTCAAATTCAATGAGCTTCTCCCTTTGTTACTCATCCGATCCTACCCCACTGTTTACAAATGAAAGCCCGTCCACGAAGACGTGTAGTCCCCTTCCACCTGGTGATACTGTAGTATTTTTCAGAGGTGGTTTCATCTCTAAATGGGTCTCAGGTTTCCCCCATTGCTCCCCTGCTCTCAATATACTGGTTTTGAAGCATGCAGGATACAGACATCTTTTTTTTATTCCTGCATGGTATTGCACAGACTGCTTCTCTGCATGTCATCTAGCTTGAAAGCCACTGACTGCACACTTTTTTTGTCATTCTGAGGGGAAAAAAAAAAGAAGTTATCCTAGTTACTTTGCCCATGAATACACATTTGTGAGAGTGGGAGTTTTAAGAACTCGCGGAAGGCATGATTAGTTCATTTATAATATTTGATGACAATGAACTGTCTTGGAGGAGAGGGAGGAGTGTGCATTTACCTTCGCTTGGAAAGGAAAACTTAACAAATTCTGTACTTGTGCATTAATTAAAGGTGATTGTTCCGGCCATTTTGAGTCCACATGCTGGGTCACTGCTGGATAGTTCAAAGTCTTTAGTGATTCCTCATTGGCCCAGTCAGAATCCCCTTTTAGAAAAGCCTTCACAAAATCCCAAGAAAGAAGACTCCATTGATGTTGTCTTGTCAGAAGGATGTTGGTGAGATCTTGTCTAAAAGGGTTTAATGAATATTTGACTTTAATTCCAAAATTAAATCTTATCTGATCTCCTCCTAGACAGCCCATTGGGAATAATTAAACAAGTTGAATGAGGGTGGGTGGATAAGGCAGATTTGCCTCTGTGATGGACTTTTGTCTTGCTGCAAAAGGTATGGGAATGTCATCATCAATCCAGCTTTGTACAGTGTGTGTGTTTTCTTTATAGAAACATCTCTGCATATGCACTGTGGGCCTTTGGACTGACAATTCAAGCATAGCTGTCAGCTATTTTCAGCAATGTTTGAAGTGATGATTTGCATTGCCAAACCTTCTTTTTTGGGGCAGCGTAAATTCTATGGAGGAAGATTTTGCAGCAAACCGTGACCAATAAGCCAATTGTTAGTTTGACTCAATGCAGCAGTATGTGCATTTTTGGATGCTCGGTCATTACATCTGTTGGGTTGTCATATTCAAATCAAGTTTGACCTGCGGTGCTCTTTATCCAGTCACTTACAGTGACACGGCCCCTCTTTTTGGCATTTGAAACATGTTGGCTACAGTTGTAATTTCTATGCAAATGTCTGACAAGAGTAAGTAATTTGGCCCTTTTCAATGCTCCTTCATATCATTCCTCTCACCAAATATTTTCATGTTGACACTGAACATAAAACATATGTTCAGTGGTGTTGCTGAAATCATTCAATCAATTTATTTTGAAAAACTGAACTTATTTGCTTCTTTTTCTGCCTACATTCCTACCCATTAAACATGTTTCTCCATTAAACTGTTTCAGGTAGAAATTACCCGGAGTCAAAGAAGAATAGGACTCATAGTGTCTCTTGTAAATACATTAAACGTACTTTTTTTTTTTTTACTCAGAATGGACTTTTTTTAGACTCTGTGCCGAACTGGCTTTACAAAACAGGTGTAACACCTTGCACCGTGATTTTTCTCCTCCTCCTTGATCTTCACCACCTCCACCTCCTCCACCCACCACCGCTGTTCGGTTCACACAGCACCACGTCGTTCTCCAGCATGCTCACGTTCCAGAGACTGTGTGCGGTTTTACTCACTGTGTGTATCCCACTTCTGCTTCTCTTCATCACTCCAGGTATCACGACAAGCAGGAAGTGACCAGTAACTTCCTGGGAGCCATGTGGCTCATCTCGATCACCTTCCTCTCCATTGGCTATGGGGACATGGTACCACACACGTACTGTGGGAAAGGCGTGTGTCTGCTTACAGGGATTATGGTGGGTTTCTGTGTTCTTCACTCAGATAAACAGATAGCACCCTCACAGGACAACTGGAACAGTTATAAAACTAAACCTCAGAGCTGAGGTACATTCTGACTGAGCTACATTCTGACCAGGACTGAACCTACTGCAAAAACAACCACAACTTTGAGATAACTTTGTATATAATTTTACTCTGGTAACTTTTATAGAGTTGATACATATGTGAAGGTTTTTATTCATTTGTGATCGACATTTAAAAAAAGATTGTCATTGTGAAAAGACATTTCATGACTTTGAGCTGCTATGTCTCATTTCTTTACTGGTTATTTTAAAAAATTAAAAAAAAAAAAAAATATATATATATATATTATTAATGTAGCATTTTGAAAGCTCACAAACACAATGTTTTGTTTGTTTGACCATGTCTTTGTGCAACAGGGAGCTGGTTGCACTGCACTGGTGGTTGCAGTTGTAGCCAGGAAGCTGGAGCTGACCAAGGCTGAGAAACATGTCCACAACTTCATGATGGACACACAACTCTGCAAACGAGTGAGTCACAGCATACCAATGCATTTAGTTACTTTGTTTTTTACAACAGGGTGCCTGCATATGATTTCTGTGTGATTTTCCTTTTTTCAAACTGTGCAAGTTGTCTCATCTTTAGAGGCCTAAAGAAAGAAATCATGTATAGTGGGATCCAAACACGCGACACAGAGGCCAAAATAAAAAACTATCCAGAGGTCATTTTTATACAATTTGAAGACTGTTTAGGGACCCCAGTATGCAGAAATGTTCAAATACACCATTTTTAGAATCAGCGACAATAACACAACTATACTGCATGCAAACAATGGCCATTTGCCCAGAACTGCATGGGATTATCATAAAGTGTACATGTCTGTAAAATGGAGACATGTGGACAACCGTAGAACTCATTATCATTCATATATCTAGAGGTGAGAGGTCAAGGGATCCCTCCAAATATGTAGTATTAAGTTGGGATTCAGCCCCCTTCCGACAAGCTACATGGTTGGTACCAATGGATTCAACAGGTCGTCTAGTTTCATATGATCTTCACTCTAGCTTCACAACTGAGGCAGCTGCAGCCTCCAAAAGACAGTATGTTGGCTGGGATTGCTGGCAATCTGGCGGGTCTCAGCGGGATAAGACAGAAGAAAAAATACATTTCTGCTCCATAACATTGTTAATTATCCTGCGGCTTTTTGGATTTATCTCGAGATCCCTCTGGGATCCTGACCTCCAGTTTGAGAGCCACTGGGTTTTGGGGCGTCCTCATTACACATCTGTGCAAATGTCCAATGTCGATACTAAGTTATTTAGGCCGGCGTTTTTATAACTCATTGGTTTTATGTTGATTTCTATGTTTGACCATCGCCGGACATTCTAATATTTCATAGTTTGTATTTTATGTTACACTTTGTCACTTTGGTTGGCTTGTTACTAAGACGAGGCCTATAACTCTTGTATTTAAAAGTGCTATAGAAATAAATTATAAGAAACATTAAATATGATAAACATCTATTCATAGAAAATGAAAACTATTGATTTCTGATACATGGGGGCTTGGACTGAAAGGGCTGAGTAGTAGCCTCTGGAGGCTGCGTTACGCACAGGTTTGCAGCCTGGGCGATAATAACCGGAGGAATGCTGAGAGCGCGCTGCAAGTTGAGCCATACAGAAGCCTGAGAGCCTAATATCATTATATTTTACCACCTGGTGCCTACATTTTGTGTTTTCCTCAACATAAATAAAAACATTTCCACCATAAATAAGTGCATGAAAAGAATGCAGAAAATAAAGTGTTTGACACCCTAAATGTCCTGGTGGATGACCCCCAAACCTCCATCTTCTTAGACGTCCCCTCTATGTTGAAACAAAATGAATGCGCTCGAGCCCCTGTTGGATATTTGATCTAGTGCCGACACTGCCCTTCAAGAAGCTACTCTACATCTCATGTCTTTTTCAAACTTGCTTCGCAGGTAAAGAACACAGCTGCCAATGTACTCAGGGAAACATGGCTCATCTACAAACACACAAAGCTGGTCAAGAAGATAGATCACGCCAAGGTGCGAAAACACCAGCGCAAGTTTCTCCAAGCCATTCACCAGTAAGTCCTGCTCTGCTTTTGTTTCGTGTTATTTCGTGTAATACAATGGGTGTTGTTCAACACCAACCCCCGAGGGGAATCAAACTATACTATGTTATTTAAAAATATAATATTTTAGCTGTTATTTGTGGTACATGATATTTAGGATGTATTATCAATTGTTGCATTGCTAATAAACTGAAATGTAGACATAGCTGAGAATATTTCTAGCGTTTTAACAATGTCCTCTTCAAGAGTACCATTTCCTATGATTGTTATGCTCGCACACATGTAAACTATTACACTCACACATACATAAGCACACACACTGCAATCTAGTGTAATGGTACTCCCTATTCCCCTCCCCGTCTCCCTCTCCCTCCGACCCCCTTTACCCTGTGCTTACAGTGAGAAGTGTAATGGTTTCACTCGTTTCGTGAATGTTGTGGGGTTAAAACTCTGTACTGTGTTCTGTCTTTGTTTTGCTCTATCACTGCAGAGCTCAGAAGTAAGTTGAGTCTTCTATGTATCCTCCTCCTACTGTTTCCTCAACATCCTCCTCCTCTCTCCATGTCTGCGTTTGACATGCATGAAAAAAAGCGTTTGTTACCACAAAAAAAAAAGAAAAGAAAATGCTGGATGCTGGATTGTTTTTAGTTTTTTTAATTTATTTTTCTCTTTACTTCAATGTTCCATTTACTTCCCTTTCCCTCCCATCTCCCCTTTTGAATGGAATGAAAAAAATTCAAAATAAGCATCAACATTTTGCCACTGGTGTCACAAGTGGAAGGTTGTCTGGAGAGAACGTGTGAAAGAAAAAAGCATCGTGCACAGAATGAGCTTGGAGCTTTGCTGGTCAGAGGTTCATAATCATCTACGATGTACTGTATAATGTTGCCCATGATTAATATAGCTGCTCTGGAGGCTATATTAACCTGCATCAACAGAACTCATCCTACACTTTTGATGGTTTTGTGATGACATGAACTCACACACGCACACACACACACACACACACACACACACACACACACACACACACACATTAACGTAATGTAATTCTAATGAGGTCTAAATGTTTGTTATAATATTGATTTTTGCTTTGTTTTATCCTTATTATTTGAGATCAAATGCCAAAGCTTGCACGTGACATTGATGACAGCACAAAAAGAGGAGACACAACACGGGTTGTAGTTTTGAAGAATAAATTGTACTCAAAATGCATTACACTAATAAGTAGTTTTGGCTTTTAGCCCCTATTCTTCGACAGCCATAAGGGATAGCAAAGCCGAGCAAACAGACACATACGAGCTGAAACGGCTTCCCACAGAGATAGAGCCGTAAGCGAGCAGTCTCACTCTGCTCTGATATACTGATTTGCACATGAATAAATGCCCTTGAATGTCATCCTGTCTCATAATTTGCCGAACAGGGAAATTCTTCCCCTCACACATCCAAATGATGGCTGTGTGATGCCACCGCTAACAATGACACATTATTCGCATCAGCGTTAACAGTTCTTACAAGGCCCTAATGTATTTGATTAGAGATAAAGAGGCACAATGTTGAAGGCATCACAAAACATGTCCGATGTATCATTGCACAAGTTATTTGAAATGTCTATGTTGCCGTATGTTCAGCAGTGTCATTAGACAGTTTATTTCTGGCAAGCTTCATCTTTTATCTGTGGCATCCACACACACACACACACACACACACACACGCACACTGTGAAAGACTCATGTTTCATTGTGCACAAGTCACACGCAGTCACCGCACGCTTACTGAATGACCAGTGTGTATATATCTCAAGTCCTACCACTGAGCTGTGTGTAGCACTGACAAAGGGCATGTCATCCTTTTCTTTTTTGATGTCTTACTTTTGGGTGCAAAGAGATGGGAATGTTTTGATTTCAAACATAGATTTTGGGATTTTCTTGTATGGAAGCATATTGCATTCTTGCTGGAAAAAAAGCATCATGTTTTGTCATGATAATACATTTTTGGATTATGTTGAGAATGCAGCAAATAAATACTTTTCAAGGTAAAGAGTGCTACTTTAAAGCACTATTGTGAAAATATAAAAGATATAAGAAGTTATAACAAAAGAACAAATCCAGATAAAACATGATAAACACTGTCATCATTTATTTTATTTTTTTCAAAATGAGCGTGGTATGCTTCTGCAATTTTGCATGTTTTGGTTGGTATTGCATTGACAAAAACCAGGAATGCTTGTGTGTATATATACATATATATTTCTATATACGGTATATGTATACATAGAGATATGTAAAGTACATATATTTACGATGCATGCCGGCAGTCCTTTCTTTTAAATGTCTTCAGTGAGAGAGCCCGCCTGATAAAACATGTGTTGTTCCTCCTCTTCCTCCTTTCTTCCCTATTGGCCTTCTCTGTCCCTTCAACACCCCCAAACGTCTCTCTTTGCCCCACTCCTGCAAACATCCCCTCTATTCCCATATTCCCTCTTGCCACTCTTCTTTTCCTTTGTCCATCTCATCCTCCTCTCCTCTTCCTGCTCCCAACTCCCTGGGCCTCCACTAGGCTGCGCAGTGTGAAGATGGAGCAGAGGAAACTCAATGATCAGGCCAACACCTTGGTGGACCTGGCGAAGGTAAGTCTCCCATCTGATGTGACTTTAAAGTGTCTTACTGTTCAATGTAGATCAACGGTCTCATTTTTCGAGCCTTTGTGGGCTCTAAAATCACTGGAGACAGCAATGGAAACCAGCAGCTATCCCTGAGTTCTGCTGTAAACTTTCACTGTTCAAATCAAATCAAACTCAAGACATTCCTGTTCCCGCTAACATCTTTCGGCAATGAAACGAGTTTGAGTAACCTGAGCCTAACGCACGCCGTAAACAGTACCTGGCTGTAAGAAGGTGAATGCAGTCATGCCTCGGTAGCTTCTGTCCTGTTGTATAGACGTCAGCTGACCCACCAGAGCAGAGCAGAGAGGGGGTTCAAAGGGAGGTGCATGACTGCAGCCTCATTTGATGTGGATGGCATTTGCACTCCAGTGTGTATTTTAAAAGGTTCTGAGGCCAACTCCTTTAATGTGTGTTTACTTGCCCTTACTCTGCTCGATGGTCAGGTCCATCTGTGTACACCCTACAGTAGTTCAACGGCTCAATGTCTCTTTGTTAAACCCTATGGTGAAGTAACCCTTTCATTTCAGGCTTAGACAAAAATCATTTGATTTCTGGCTTAGACAAAAATCATTGTATTTCTGAGGAGTACTAATGTCTGAAAAAGGCCTTATGATGAAATAGTTTGTGAGCTCTACTGGTGACCATTAAATTTTATGTCACTGGGCATTAAATTTGTCATTGTAAAAAATAGAATTATACTGTAGATTTTATTATATATTTTATAACCTATAAAATTGCCATAGTTTGAATAGAATTACATGCTGATACCAGGCATGCATTAACACTGGCCCTATTGCATCCATTGTGGAACAATAAGTGCCTAAATTATGGAGACGCTTTTCATTATATGAATGAGTTGTGTAAAGCATATACATAATGCATTGAAGACCTTCTCAGGCTATCAATAGATTGGAGAAGCTGGTTGTGAAACGGTGGGAAGATAAAAATTAATGCTGACTTGCTGGAACTATACAGCTTCCTGTCAGTGTCCTTCTCTTCAGACTGAGCAAGTAGGATTTAGACCATAATTTAATCTATATACGTTTTTTTCTCTGGCAATGTACATATACTGCACCTCGTATTTAATTTGTTGCATCTCTCCTTGTGGATATTAAGTCGTAAAACAGATTTTTATCTTGTCTCTCACTCCTTTGTCTGGCCCTCCTCCTCTTCCTTCTTTGTCTTCTTGCACCTCCCCAAACACATTTACTTTCTCTCCTTCATTAGACCCAGAATGTGATGTATGACCTGGTGTCAGAGCTGCAGGAGCGCAGTGAGGAGCTGGACAAGCGCATCGGCACATTGGAGGACAAGCTGGACTCGGTGACGGGCAGCCTGCAGGCACTGCCCTGCCTCATCTCCCAAGCCATAACCCAGCAGCAGCAGGAATTCCTGGACGGCTTTGTTCACCGCTTTCGGCCCGCCTCACTAGCCTCGGAGCGCTCTGAACGCTCTGAGCGATCCTGGACTTCCACCGCCCGTAGGCGGCGCTCTCCCTCCACAGCACCACACACGTCCTCTGATAGCGGATAACCTTGACGAACCCACTGCAATCACCTTCGAGCCCCACCTTTCCCAAACCAACTCGTCACCTTATTCTCTCCCATCCAAAGCCGTCCCTGTAACCACTGGCGAGTCCATGTCTGGACTGATAATGAATCCATATCTTGACCCCAGATCTGATCCTTGCCCCTATTCTCTCCCCTGTCATCAAATCCAAAAGCCAATTCCTCTGTGACTGAGCCTCTCGGCACAGCACAGGACTGGATCAGAGCTACTCCAAAAGAACAAAGAAAAGCAGACAAAGACTTAAATCAAGAAAACACAAATGCATCCAAAAAAAAGAAAAAGAAGAAAAAAATTAAATGACTGAAAAACCGAGATAAAGTAGAGATATGGTTTATGTTTTAGCCATTGTATGGCTGTTCAAGTTAGCTTTTTTGTAAAAGCCCTTGTATAGTTAAAAAAAAATGACTGAGTTCAGGGTCGCATGGGGTGAGAGCTGGCTATCACACCGGAGAGTCCTTAACCACGAGGGGGGAAGTTGGTCTGTGGAGCCTCGGCTCACCTGCTGGTCCTCTGAGGCCACGGAGGACATCCTTCCACCCATCCGTCCGTCTACCTGTTTGTCTGGTGAGGAGAGCGAGACAAACCATTGGATTTCCCTTCCAAAAGACTAGTGTCATGGATTCTTTCCCATAGGTTAGGGTGAAAGCTTTAGACGAGGCTATAAAAGCTCTGACTTGAGGTCAGTGTTTGAAAATGCACTTAAGGGGAAGGAGAAACTGTCACACAAAAGAAGAGCAAAGGGGATGCATATGGCATTACTACTGGGTAGGAAAAATTTACACAGTTGCCAACTTCAAGGTTTCAGCTTCCTTGTTCTTACCAAGGGAAAATGAGAGGGACTATCTTTTTTAGTTACATATTGACATGTGATTTTTCAGTGCCTGAATGTATAAATAGTAGAGGGTTATTTAATTACTAATTTCAGAGCTTTTTTACGATGTTAACAGTCTGAATACAGCATTGCATTCCTTTTTCAGATACATTCCTCTCCAAAAATTTAAAGAAAATGTCTTAATGTAACACATAACATTGCCTCCATTACACAGCAAATCTAAATGTTTTGAAAATCTTTTATTTCTTCTATTTCTACTAACACCGTGAGAAATGAAAAAGTTCAGAGAACAAGCAAAAGTGAGACGGACTGAGAGAATATTTGTGAGTGCGTTTGTCAGAGAACGAGTTCACTTTTAGCTCAATGCTGCACACTCATACACACAACTATGAAATATGTAGTCTACTTTTCTCACCACCACTAATTAGAGCTTCCTGTGGTCTTCAGATAATGGCATGGCTTGAGGTCTGCTGGTATATACGGCCACACAGGCACACATCACTGGTCGAACTGAGAAGCCAACCCTGCCCTTTGCATGGTTCTGTGCAAAAATGACAATGGAACACAATCTTCCTCAGAAGGCTTGATGATTTTACATGATTTTGATTTTATTACATTTATTTTTGTTTGATTGTTGCCTTTTTTTTTCTTTTATTTATTTCAAAATTTGACTAGGATACCTAGGGTTTTTATAGTTGCATAACCGAGAGAGTTGCAGTAATGTGATTCTGTAATGCATTCCCTGTTTAAAGTACGAGGTGAAGAAAAATCTACAACTACAAAAGAATCCTGAAAGGATACAAATTTAAAAGGAATAGTTTTGGGCAATGCAATAATTGATTTGAGTCGAGTGTTGGATGAGAAGATTGATACCATTTTCGTTTTCGTATGGTAAATATGAAGCTACTGCTAGCAGCCTGTTAGCTTAGCTTAACATAAAGACTGGAAACATGGGGAACGGTTTGCTTAGCTCCTTCTAAAACACATTATACCTTGTTTATTTAATCCGTAAAACACCTGCAATATAAACAGTGCAGTAACGTTCCTGCAGTCTGCTCTGTTTGCCTGGCATCCTCATGTTGACGACACAACTCCAGGGAATAGGCCTTCCATAAAAACACTTGTCGTTCATACACTTTTTGTACGGACTTAATTTGATGGCTTTGGTGCTTGTAAGTGGATTTTGTTACCTTTGTACAGAGCCAGGCTAGCTGTTTTCATACGTTTTGCCTTATTTATGCTAAGCTAAGCTAACCAGCTGCTAGCGGTAGTTTCATATATTTACGGAGAGTGGTATCAATGGTCTCCTCTAAGACTGAACAAGAAAATGAATAAGCATATTTCCCGAAATGTCAGGCCTCTGTTTTGTCTCTCCGAAAGACATTGAAACACATTCACTATGATAGAGGAGACATTGGAACATTTTAAATCTCAAAAGCATGGTGTTTGAAGCATCCTAGAGTAGTGATGTTTGAAATATTTAAGATCTTTAAAGTGATTTCTTTCCAAAGTACATAAAAAAAGCAGATCAGGAAGTCAGCAGGTTAGCGGGCTAGCATGCTGTCCAAAAGTAGTTTGAATGGTAATCTGAGTCCCAAAAGAATGTTAGTGCTACAAGTCATTTTTATGGCCCCTTAAGTTAACAGACAAATAGGATCCTTATTATTTGATGCATCTTAATTATTTCCAAGCTGCTTTGCGTTGAATCAGAGCAAAGTCTAAACCCTGTGAGACAGTGAGCGAGACCACTCTCCCACAGGCTCTGGACTCACCAGAGAGCACTTCATTTGAGAACATATTCAGTTTGCTACGAGAGGAACTTAATCAAGCATGAGTATTAGCTTTTTTCCTTTCAACTTGAGTTGATGAAGCATGACTCTTTACTGCCCCCACCTCTAGCCACTTCTCGTACAGTGCTACGCTACACCCTTCCAGTAGGAAGGGATCTATCATGCCATTACAGTCTCCGTTTCAATCAGTGTCGTCCAACTAGTCAGGACGGCTAATGGAAGACTATCTGCTTGATTACGGCCTTACCTGCCTTTTCGGATCCAAGGTTTGCATCTCTTCATTACATGGCAGGTTTAGCCTCGCGTTTGTCATCTGTCATTAAGAACATCAGTCCCCCACACGCAAAGAGGATTCCCAAATGGCCTGCAGCAAAGACCATTGAGTGGTTTGAATGAAAAAACAAACAGAAAGAAGCAGGGGAACCGCCAGGTCATGTTCCATGTTGCACTCAGTGTGTAATATTCAGTTACACAAGGAAGGATCCCAGATTCTGAAGTGTCCTCCCCAGAGAGATGTGAAGGTGCTGGTGTTAAGCACTTCATCCTTCATCAGGCAACAGGAGGGAAGGTGAGACAAGATTGAAAAAAAAAAGAGAGATGAGAGCAATAGCTAATTTACTGACGCGTTCGTTTTGGCCCAGGGGCGGGGGGGTTGTGAACAGCAAGAGTGGGTGTCCTGTAAATATGACCTCATTGTAGATGTCGCCAAGTAAACGGGACAAATGGTGAACCGCGGGGGTTAAAGTAGTTGGGTGCAATGCACAGCATGTTGCAAGTGCAGTAGACAAACAGTCGAGAAAGGATACAAATGATTTTAAATTCTGTCAAATTAAAGATCATATTTGATTAATTTCACACCTTTTTCTGCTGATGGAGGTATAATCAGGTTCTGTTTTTTTTTTATCCTGTTGTAAAGGTTTGTTTTCTTCTTCACTCCTTATCCTGTCACCAACAAAGTCCTGCCAAAACACCATTCCAAAATTGAATAAAGACCCGATTTTCTCGACCAGAAAATAAAAAATGCACAGTATTTTGTAGTTAAGTGAGGAACATTCATGATGTTATTCTGATGATGGTAGATGAGTCAAAGTGATAAACGCATCCCAGAGTCTTTTATTATCCTGAAAAAGTAGGCTTTCCTCATAGAGCAGGAATCAGAACACACTTCTACTGAACAATAACGGAGTGAAAAAACCCCAACAAGTGAAGAAATGTAACCCAATCATTGTTCTGTGTACACTGCCACATGATGCATAATGTACGTAGTAGCACTGGAATAAATCAACTTTTAATGGATGGCAAATGGGTTTAACATGTTCTCTGTAAACTGTTTGCTGTTCCTTCATTTTGCAGGTGAACTTTTGTCCTAGCAAGGAGAGACACCAAGGTCAAATCATTAAAGACTATCTTCAGCTATGACCATAACTCTCTTCTTCTTCTTGGCAGCGAATAGACAGACCTTTAATCTGAAATCACTTCTTTTGCTTTATTTTTTCATTAAATCAACAAAATAACAATCTGAAACTTTTTCACACAAAGTCCACCCCAAGGAGAAGGGAAAGGACAGCAGCTTAAAGCCAATTGTGACAGTGGAAGGTGAGTTGGCGCATGTGTTGACAGATACAGACATCACACGTCTCTTCCTGGAAGACTGTGAGGCAGGGACATCCTAAAACATGATTACAGGGAGGATGTATTGACATAAACTTAAACATCGCTCCAGAGGACACACAGCTGCTGAGGCGCTGTTCCAAGGTGAACTATGGGCTGTAGGCAACACGCACGCACGCACACACTGAGCCATTAATGTTCAAATAACAAGCTACTATTCATGTCCACATGCACAAACAAGGCTCGGCCTGGTTAATTACAGCCAAATCAGGAGGGGCTTGGCAGCAGACCGGTATCCCACCAGAGTGGCCGAGTCAGTCACCCTGTAGTTGTAGCTATACAACCCCAAAGACATGCTCCTCTGCTCATCGTCCCTCCCAATAGTGCAGCATCATTAAATTAAATATTGTGTTCATCATTTCATATATGATAAGAGTAATGTGTGGTTTCAAATGTGCACTCATAAGAATGTTGTTTCATAGTAAAAGACTAAATGGAAAATTCCGACCAATTTATCCACAGATACTCAGCTTACTTACTTACTTAATGTCCTGAGCAGATAAGCTTCTCAGTATTTCCTGCTGTAATAATGTCCATCTCCTAATGAGCACAGTTATTTCATCCAGCTGTTACTTATTCTTGTGTTGGAAGTGTGAAAGGCAAGAAAAAGGGAATTAAATTACCAGAGATCTCCCCTAGAGGGTACTGGAGATGAATCCACAGCGAGAAAAGACAAGAGGGGCAGGTTTCAGAGGACTGAGGATGACCCTCGGACTGGGGAAGGACAGGGGGGGTTGAGGATCATCCGAGAGTGTGAAAAGGTCCTTCGGGGACAGCTTGTTCCAAGCAGGCGAAGTCAATTATTGAATTTATTACAGGCCTCACTTTCCTCTGCCCTGGGAGCTCATAGGTAGCTGCTGCATTATGCTTAATGCCCTCCCCATCACTTCCAGCTAACGTGGTTTGGCATACACTTGGGGATATCAGAGCGAATAGGAGTATTGATCTTGGTTTTGGCCTTTTTTTAATGCACAATGCTGTAGTGGCTGAGGGTGGGTGTGAAGGGCCTTTTAATTCCAACAAATGTTTTTTGAGTGTCATTTATACCAGCATTAATCACTTCTCTCGTTCTACTTATCTGAATCTCTTCCTCTGTTGCTCGTTTCTCTCTCTGAGATCGGAGGCAGAATGAACTGCCTCCGATCTCACTGGGATACACACACATAATGTATACATGTAGCTTTCCATCTGTCCTCCACTTGACAGCATCATTTCAGCTAGAAACTCAGATCTATGTTCACTTCTCACATCATATGCAGTTTTTTTTTATTCGTTATAAAGATTAACTTTCTCTATTCAGCCACCAATACTTAGATCACTCACTACTGCCTCGTCTGTTGATACTTGACCACCCACTATTTAATGACGCACTCAAAGTTTGATTTGATTGATACTTTTGACCCCTTTGAAAGGAATATAAGGCTATTTATTGCCATAATACAGTGTTAGCAAAAGCAAAACATTGTAAAGCCACTTTAAAATGTCAGAAAGGCATGGAGGTCAATGGAAAGATTACCTTATACGCAAGTCAAAGAAAGTTTATTTGTATTGCACCTTTCGAACACAAAGGCATAGAAAAGCATACATACAACATTTATAAACACCAAAGCCAAATTTCTGCCGCATGGTGCGATTCAACTCTACTCAGTTTTGGTCCCAGGTCTTTTTCTTGATTTCATTTTCCACTGCAGATAGTACAACCTCAATGTAGCTGGGATTCTTAGCTGAAAACTGCCATGGCATCATCTTTAACGCGACAGAAATGCAGTGTGTTCTCTCATGTCAACGTCTGTAGCCTTCTTTGTCAATTGACATGCATGGTGTGGTATACAGGCGGGCATTTTATTAAATCTGAGTGGAGTTAATAAAATAAATTCTAGATTGGCTATTGAGATATGATGCAGAATGTGCTGTATCGTGCATGTGATGATTCTAGTGACAATTCTCTCTGACCAATCAGTGGTCCGCAGTGATTAAACTCCACCTTTTATCGGCTCAGCTCACACACAACCTTGACCAAGTGATACAAAGAAAAGCACCAGGTGATATCCACTTTTGCAAAGAACGGTTCCAAGCGAGTTGAGTGGAGCTGTGGTGTACCATGCAGTGGAAACGTGGCATTAAACTTGTTTTATCTTTGAGCAGAGCCTGACTAGCTGTTTCCCCCCTGTTTACAGTCTTTATGCTAAGCTAAGCTACAGTTTACTAGTTATGGCTTCATATTGACCGTACAGATATGAGAGTCTCATCTGACGCTCAGCAAGAAAGCAAATAAGCATATTTCTTTAACATTTGCTTTCGCTCATTTGACATCGATTTAAACTTTTGATTCATGACTTATTTCAGATGTATCACATATTTATCTAACACAAGACAGGGAGACCTGTATGTATGCTCTGTTTTACATGTTAGGCCTTTGCTTACAGTATACACTCCCGATACACGACTCTCGCATTGTTCTGCTTATCATTTGCAGCTGAGCAGGCAGTAGAGGACATGCACAGCAACAACAGATGAGCTATATAGCCCCGGGCCAAGGCCACTGGTGGGACTGTGTACTCACTTGAGAAAGTGGGTGGCATTATGTTTTTACTGTACTGTATTGGCTGGGAGTACTGCAGTGTGTGTGTGTGCGTGCTTGTGTTTGTGTGTGTGTGTGTGTGTGTGTGTGTGAGGGTGGAGAGGGGGGTCACTACAGATGTCCTTGCCTTGAGCTTTCTCTATCTGCGCTGCCCTGGAAGAATCGCTGGCACAGAGTGACGTCATATTATACAGCAGGAGTCGGATACACATCTTAATGAACAGAACACATGTAGTCATTGATAAAGGGGAGTGTTGCAGTAAGACGGAACGGAAAAAAACACCTGCACTTTGCTACATGGAATGATATCACAAAATCAGGGGGAATTTGATCAATTTTGCTGCTATTTTATTTCTATTCTTCATATGTGACAAAATAAACGTCATAAATAAATGTCAAAAAGATATAGGGCAACGATGTTCACCGGGTTAGCCATATTTGGAAACGATAAATGCAGCAGAGGAAAGGTAAGTAAGAGAGACTGGGATATAGAGAGAGAGCAAACTCAGTGAGGGAGAGAGAGGTGGCGATCAACCATCTAAGTGAGAAACACAGGATCTTGCTGCCCTCTAGTGCCAAACACCCCAGTTCCCTCTGTGACAACAACACAATATGACACAGTTGAGAGGAGAATTAACTATTCATAAATGACGGGATGATAAAGCAGTATTTATTTTCTACAGATCTTAGATATAAAATGTAATTGATTACGCGGTGCTCATATCAAACCCATGCTTTTCTGTAAAAATATGTGTTATCTTGTGGACAATCCACTGTTTCTGATTGTTTTAAGTGATATCCGTAATACAATGCTAGACTTGTATATGCGCACAGAATAAATATAAATGAGTGAATTGTCCATTTTGTACCCGTGACTTATCAATAAAGTGACGACAATATGATCTTAGCAGCAACAATGTCCACCCAGGTCCTTTTAAAGCACATGTTGTGGATTACATGCATCATTTTAGGTTAGCTCACCACCTCCTCTCCTCGTTTTTATGAATGTCAACAGTTACAGTCTCTCTCTCTCTCTCTCTCTCTCTCTCTCTCTCTCTCTCTCTCCCTCCCTCCCACAGATTAACATAGTAGTGCCAGTCAGCACCAGCTCTGGTTTAATGTTTGAGCTTTTACTCCCCCCTCAGTTCTCAATACACACAATTGGCCAATCACCCTGTGTGTGTGGAACTGAGCGTCTAACACCGGGAGTGAGTCACCTGAGAGTGGGCCTGGTGGACACGCCGGCCATTTTACAGTAGGTATCAGTTCCTGTTTCCTTACGAGCAGCCGCTCAAAGTCCACCTGCATGACCAGAGAAACAAGCTGGGGTCAAACTGGTAAGAGAAGTGTGTTTTTGAGTTTTCTTTTATTGGCTTAAAGACAAACATGCTCTGTGTTATTAATGTGTTCCCACTTTGTGACAGTTTCATGTTTCTGTGTAACAAACACCTGTGCAGCGGCGTGCTGTGAGTCACAGCTCAGCTTGAACTCTGTTATTAGTCGAGCCCGAGCTGTACTGTAGTCATGTGGTGGTCACTCTGAGTAGTTCTGCTGTAGCAGAGTCTGATCATTGAGTTTAAAGGGATTTTCTAGTGGTTTGGCATTGTTTTGGTCCAGGTTCCACAAATCACGTGTTGTGATACTGGAACATTACAGGTAACCATTTTGCAAACAAATCAGGTGTGTTTTTACAATCCAAACACTTAATTTATGTTCAGTATGAAAATCTATTAGCAGACCATTGAGACGAGCTTGACCTGCGTAATCGATAGACAATAAGTCTCACAGCATTATCAAGTTTAAAGATGCTATATTGAACATTTGTATTACAATGAATCACATACTAGCTGTTTAGGCCACGTTTCCACCTGGTATTAACATGTGATCTGTATCCAAATACATTATCTGGATAATGACATCTGATACACGGGTCTTTGCATTAGTCTGGATGCGTTAACACCTGGTACATCCAGATAACAGATGCAGAATAATGCCATGTGTAAAAGTGTAATTATCACCTGTCTCTGCAGCTCAGCTCTACGTAACGAATATTTCAGCCCAAAACTTCACTGTTTTGTTTCCCTCTCACTGCTCTCATCAGCTGTGTTTTCAGACAAAGAGAAGGCTGCTGTTTTTAGTGAACAAGTACAAAGAAACTGGACGCTACCTGTTCAGCACCAAAAACAGAGCTAAAAGTAGAGTGAATATTGGACTTATGTCATCAAGGTGGACACAAACAAGGCTCTAATTTAATGCTATTTTTTGTTGCTCCGCTATCTGCTGGATGTGTAAATACGGAAATGCTGACAAGTTTGGCTTATCAACTTAAAGTTAAACACAGGTATGGTCCTTTAAGATTAATTAAAAGGAGACTATTTGCATTATTACATGTTGTCTTTATCTTAGAGGAGAAAGTAAAATCAGGATATCACTATCATGTCTCTTTTTTTTAAAACTGAGACGTCAATGGAAGGTGATATAAAGTTTTAAGCTCATAAATCTGACTCACATTCAGTCATTTAGAGTTAAATCAAATGAGGCTGGAGTCTAGTTAAAATCATACCATGTGAGCTACTGAGGCTCAACTGTGTTAATAACACATTTACAGCATATAATTATGGCATATATGCTGACATGCTTAGTATACATAACTAATAACGTATATTCCCCCTTCCCAGTTTCTCCCTCTCCATGCCTCAGAAGGACTGCGTGATTATTTCTTTCTCAATGAATCACCAAAATCAGCCCACAGCATGAAAAGCTGGAGCAGCAAACTCAAGAGACAAGACTCTGGCAGTGTGGTCGAGTCCTCCTCTAGCAAAAGGAACTCCATTAGTGGCCCACCAGTGCCTGTGTGGGTTACTCACACACCCACACCAGATAATATCACAAATGATGGTGATACTAACTCCACAGGCCGAACTTCCAGCACTCCACCGTACGCTGAGAAGGAGGACAGTAAAGGAAGCATGAAGGACAGACTGAAATCCCTCATCCCTCAGTCATGGGGAGGCATCATCCCTAAATCGACAAAAGAGAGTGACAGTTTTAACGACTCTGAAGCCAGCAGCAGTACGATCCAGATCCTGCCCAATGGGACCAGGGTGAGTCCTCCTGTAAGTCCCCTGCTGGAGCGCAGGAACTGGGCTGAATCACTTGGCAACTCCAGCCAGAACTCTCATAAGCCTTTGTTAAGGGAGAGCCCGTCTGATGATCTCTTGTATCAGGGCCCACGAGAAGAATCTCTCCTGACCAGTATCCACCCTGCAGAGTACTACGCTGAGAAGCTGGAGGTCTATAACCTGAAGTACGCTTACTTGAAATCCTGGCCAGGGTTGCTCAGACTTCTTGCGGGACTTCAGCTCCTTTTTGGGGGCATGGTCTTTGCCTGCATCATCGCGTACATCCAGAAAGACAGTGAGTGGTCCAACAGCTACGGACTCTATAACGGTGCGTATAACAATGGGCAAGGCATATCTGGATACAGCTACAGAGGCCCCATGACTCCCTTTGTACTGGCTGTAGCTGGAGTCTCCTGGATTATAACCCTCATTATTTTAGTGATGGGAATGACGATGTATTATCGCACCATCCTCCTCGACGCGCCCTGGTGGCCTCTGACGGAGGCCTTCATCAACGTGGCGCTGTTCCTGCTCTACATGGCGGGTGGGATTGTCTACCTGAACGACTTGAACCGCGGGGGGCTGTGCTACACGGCAATAGGCATTAACCCCATCGTTGCCAATCTGTGCCGGGTTGATGGGGGACAGATGGCGGGAACGGCTTTCATCTTCATCAACATGGCGATGTATCTGGGAAGCTTCCTGGTGTGTCTGAAGATGTGGAGGCATGAGGCTGCACGAAGGGAGAGAGAGTACTTTGAGAACAAGGTACAGGTCATTAATCCGATGTAGAGTTTAGATGCAGGAGGATATCATCGCTTCTAAATTTAAAGTGGGAGGCAAAACATTTTCATTGAAAGAATGGTGTGTTCTCTGGATATGGAAAGTGATCCTCATGACTTCAGAGCTATGGGGGCAAGTTCCCCTTTAAACTGTTCACAGGTTTTGTTCTCAGCTTCTGGAAATTTTCAGCCCATACGTGGTTTATCCCCTTCGTGTTTACTCTATGCTGCTCTGTCACACACGCTCCTCTTTTGATGGTTCTTTAAGTATATCTGACATATCAAACATCCCGTTTATTGTTGACAACAGTCAGGGATACTATTATTGATTGCAAATGAGCCAACAAAACCCCCAACACCACAGTGGAAGATCAAATCCAATAAAATTGAAAGTCAGTCAGGATAATCTGCAGTGAGCATGCCATTTGTCAGTATTGATATGTCAGCTTCTTTCTGCTGGCAGTCAACCAGGATTCATCCCAAAGCTGTAAACTGTGTTTTCCTTAACTCTATTGACCGTGCAGTCCTCTCTGTATGAGTGTGCCAGAAATAGATGAGTTAAATGTGAAGTAGACATTCCTGTTTTGCAACCATATGTGATGCTTTTTCAGGGCAAATTAATCTAAAAAAATGCATGCTTATATTTGCTAATAACACCAAGTAAACATGAATTAAGAAATGTCAATGGTAGCATTGTGTGGCTAGTGAATTATAAGGAACAAAGTTGCTATTGCCTGTGTCTTAACTACAGTGACGAGTCTACAGCCACGCTACCGGCCCTGTGAGGCTTTAGTAACGGTAGTGATTTGAGCTAAATGCTAACATGCCATGTTTACCATCTTAGTTTAGCATGGTTTTGAGATATTTCAGTCTGGACCGATTGGCTGAGCAGCATCCCTAGATTCCCGGGGTCATCCTTATGTTCCCCCGGGTCCTATATGTGCTTGATATAAACTGATATTGTAAGAGATTGATAGGGGCTTTCTTCAAAAGGTTAATAGTTCAAATTGCAAATGAATGAAGGGAGGTAGACAATTCAAATGCAGTTTGAATGGTAAAAATCAGTTAAGCCACTGTGGAGATATCAATGGCTTAACTGAAAGAAAAAAAAGGAAACAAATTTGAGGGAGTAGGTTTGAGGAGTATATCAGGCTATAAGCTAGTGGATGATTTCAACATCTGACCGAGAGAAACAATACTGAGAACTGAGAAAGGTGTCGTTAATGCGTTGTGTTAAGAGGATATTAAGCTGGGAAACATAGAACCCTAACATAGATAGAACCCTAACATAGATACGCTCATGCTAGCATAGCTAAAAACAAATAGCTAACAAATGTGGCCTGTACAGCAGTGGCCATTGGCATCTGATCAATTCAATTAGCACAACATGCTCAGCAATCCATGACACATCCAATCCAATATTCTAAAGCATTAGACTCGACAGAAGTCTAGTCATTGTTGTGCCTAGTAAATTTTGGCCGAGATATACAAACACTACATTTGAACATTCCCTTCAGCAGCTACTACACATACTACTGTTTGCAAATAGAGTCCATGTTATCGAGCATCACAGCCACCACCTATGGGTGACAAACAGCATGGTCAGCTAAGATGTTTGATGTCAAATAAGAAAGAGTGAGAGGCCAGGAGGGAACATAATGATTTCATCTCCCAGCTGAGGGAATGCAACTTCAGAGGCTTAGCTTGTCAAAGCAAAACAATGGGGCAGTTTTTCATCCTGGCTGTAGTTAATTCTTTTAATTAGGATTTCTCTGACATGTAGCTTAACCTAAATTTTGCTCCTAGGCGTCTTTGAGAGTTTCTCGTAATGATGACATGGGCTTGCACACGTAGTGGTGCATAGTCATTAAATTTAATTTAATTCACATGTTTTTAATAATCCTTTTTGTCTTTTACCTTCAGCCCCAGGAGTCCATCCCACTAACCCCTCAAAAAACAAAGCACATATCATTCAAGGATGAAACAGATAAGTCTCTGAGTAAAGATTATCTAAATCAGAATCCAGTCAGTGTGAACAGAGCCCCAGCGTCTGAATACACCCCCAAAGTACACATCATCGCCGACTACATCATGTGAGTGAACATTTAAACTATGCAGGGTTGATATTCTGACTCTATGTCATATATAGTATTTACTGTATTCACGTTCCCTGAAACCCTTCCCTATAGAAAGTATCCAGAGATCAGCTGTGTGGAAGAAAGGGAAAAATACAAAGCAGTCTTCAATGACCAGTATCAGGAATACAAGGACCTCCACAGAGACATCGGCATCACCCTCGATAAGTTCAGACAGCTGGATGCAGTGATGGCACGACTCCCCAGAGATGGAAAAAGCCAAGAGGTGAGATGAATGTAAAACAACCTTCATTTAATCATGTCTATTAACCGTACAAACCATTTCTGTGATGGGCTTCCAGGATATAATTCGAGGTGAAAAGGTCATGATTAGGCCTCCTTATTGCACGGACATGTTAAACAAATCTATTTATACAGGATGCCATTGTGATACACACTGTTGGATAAATGTTTTATGTCACGTTTTGTGCAAACTGTTAACATTCTATTTATCATTTAGGATCGGCAGAGGATTCAAAGCATTTTGAAGAAGTATCAGCAGAAAAAGAGTGTAAGTTTGTTAATAAGTATAATAATGAGGGCACTAGTCCCCTCATGGTTTCCATCTGCTCACTCGCAAGCAATTGAAAAATAATCTGGCGAATCCAACAGTTAACCCAGAGATGTAGTAGAATTGCTAGTGTTGTGTAAACACCCAGGTAGCATTTGTTTTTCTTCAATAAAGCTGTCCACTGATGCAAATAATGTTGCTTCCACCATGAAACCGAAACTCTCATTTAATGCAGCTACATTCCAGAATGAATCAGGCAAAGACGACAGTTAGCAGAGGAAGACGAAAAGAGGAGGAAAAAAGACATTTAGGTAATAGAGGTTGCTGCGTTTAATCAATAGATTATTTGATATATGTGTGTGTGTGTTTTTTTTCACAGGAGCCTGGCTTCCTAGAGAAAAAGGAGCGCTGTGACTATTTAAAAGCTAAATTAAGCCACATCAAAAACAGAATACGCACTTTTGACCAGGAAGCCATGGGAAATGGTCGGGCATGAAGACGAACAGAGAGAGATACCTGCAGCACCTGATGAGTGGACACAACAAATAACCTTTCTGTCATTGTTTTTTTTTTGTCAGTATATTGATCGTATTGAATATATATTCATTTTGAATGAAAAGCATATTGGACACTTTTTGTATTGGCATCAACATGACATGAAACCTGGTTTATAACACCTGAGCTACAGCATTATAAGGGCTAAATGTTACACGCCTTTTGTGTACAACTTTCATTACATGTCATCTCATGATTTCTTGTTATATTCCTGTCATTTGTGTCACCGCGGAGGAACAACATGTTGATTCAGTGTATGTTTTAAATCAAAACTCTGTCAGTGATTGCAATTTTTATTAAAAAAATAAGTTTGTGTGATACAGGTTCTTTTTTTACTAACGCGTATTGCTGTTTCATATTTGCACTGCCCCTTTGTGTTTTCTCTACAACATTTTTGGCTCTGCGTAGACAGTTAGTTTATCTTACCTATGTGCGCTACTTTGATTGCTCCTACCTCCTAGGTGATCCATGATTTTTTATTGTCCTTCAGCTTTGTAATATATTTTATATATATGTATATATATATATAATATATTTCCATATGGCTTCAGAAAAAAAACAACTTTCATATAACATCAGGTGGATAAAATGTACAGGTTTATTATTAAGTGAAGTGCTCTCACACTCCTCTCAGGTCAGGTTTTATTTTTTCCAGTTTTCAGTTGTCATTTACAGTTTTATTTTGGTATACTCACCTTTGTCTCTTGTTTCAGATACTTCCTGCTCTTGTGTGTTTCCCGTCTGTGTGTTTGTCTGCCGAGTCCTTTTTGTTTTCACCTGTCCCTCATCAGCCCTGCTGTCACCTGTCCCTTGCTATCGCCCTCCTTTCTTGTGGGATTAGTCTGTGTGCTCCCCTTTGTCTGGGCCAGTTCCTCTGTTTCAGTGAGTGGACAAGCCTTTCTTTTCCTCATGAATTTACAGTGTTTATCAGACCAATCTGCAGTACTTTGACTTTTTGACGTTTTTTTGGACACCTTTGCTTATTTCCGGACCGACAAAACCCTATAAGTCAAGACTTTGCATTCTACCTGCTTCGTGTTCAAGCCTTTCATTTGAGTTCTTTGTCTGTACCGACCAAAATGAGCTCAGTAACCAGACAGTACAAATATGTTATTGAACCATTGATTTATTGGCCTACACTGATTTCTACAAACACACCATGAAGCCATTTGTGTCATAGAAAAACAAAAGATGCATTTCAATCACTGTTTGTGTTTGACTGTTTTGATTATGTTGGTCCTCTACATTTATATTTGTAGACAGCAGTTAGCTTCCAACTGGCCATATTTATTATTGGTTGTAAAGTGACACAATCCGCCATTTCAGAAAACCAAAGAACTTGAAATAAAAAACACTCCCACAATTTCAATGGCAGAGGAACGTTGTTTCATTGTACCCAAACAACAGATTCTTGGCATTGAGGTGACAAAATACTATGATAATATTCTATCTGGATCTTATGGCGTCAACTGCTATTATACCGAGCTCTTGCACATTGACTGATATTTTCTGTCTATTCCAGATGTGGAGCCAATTAAGTAAGTCTCAAGTCTTTGCACTCAAGACCCAAGTCAAGTCCCAAATCGAGACAGGCAAGACCCAAGTCCTAACCTTTGAGTTTTTAAATCCTAAACAAGTCACAATGCTCTCTTCACCAAATATTTTGTTGGTGTCTGAATCTGTCATTTTCGACCTGCACTTTTTGCGTCCTGCAAATCATTTGTGTTTCTTTACATAGTTTCTGTCCACGGATGACATTAGTTCTTCATGGTTGTCTTGGTAGAATGCTGTCGGATTGGTACCAACAAAGAAAATTAACACGTTTTAAATTACAAGGACAACTTTTTAATCTTTGGGTTTGGGGTAAGGTATCAAGTATTTTCCATCCAAAAAGCTCAAGTACAAGGGAAGTCATGTATCATTGGTTTAAACTCTATGTTGAGCTGCAAGTCTTTTTTTGATTTTGTTGAATCAAAAGTCATTCAATTTAAGAGTCCAAGTCATGTGACTGGAGTCCACAACTCTGGTCCCTTCTGCTATAAAATCACATCTGCATGTTTTACTGCAGGTTTACATGTTGGACTACATTGACAACCTGCTCTCAGTATTGCCTTTAACACTTCAAACCTTATGGAACTGCCTTCAGGACTGCACCTAACAATAGCTTTAAGAATCATTCAACTGTAAATGATTTTAACAATTTATCCAGTTGTTTGGTAGCCTCTGTAAAATATCAGGAAACACTGTCTGGAATTTATTTCATAATTTATTGTTTCAGTTCAAATTGGCTTCAATGTATGCAGGCAATGGATTCACTGTATGACCTGCCGTAATATTAATAATAATTACAATGAATTAATTACAATGAAGTTATCGTTTAGAGTAAACCTCCTCCTATATGTTTTGCTTTGAAACATTCATAAACTTTAAACGTTTACATGAAACGTTTATTACATAAAAAAAACAGTAGACTCAACCTGATGAAGTGTTTAATCTTTCATTTGAAGGCAGCCATAGCCTGTAAAGGATCTACGAGAGAGCACGTGTCAGCAGGTTGAATGTGCTGCTGCTGAGACACACGCAGCCGCTCCGCGCGTTTCGTTTGCTGGAAAGTATCCGTCCTGAGATATGACTCGGTTTACGATCGTCGGGGAAGTATAAAGAGGCCACCGTGGAGACTCAGCGATATGAGATCAACTGAGCTGGACGGGTGCAAAGTTGAGGGACGTTTTCTACAGTGCGAGGTAAGTTGTGTAGTATAATAGCCTATAGCTGACCATTTCATTGTTTAAGCTGTTAGACGGGTCACATTTATATTTCTTTTTACATTTGATTAATTATGCGACCTGTTGAATGTTTTTTAAACATGAATAACGGAGGTTTAACGTGTTGGTCAGATCGTACACTTGGAGTGGAAAGTAGACAGAAGCCAAATGATTTAGTAGAATTCCATTTCTTTGTTTTGATGTGTTTTGTATCATATCAAAAGAAACAAATTGAGTTTGTTTTTCTAACTTTCTGAGAGCAAAATTGAAAAGTAAAATAAACAGAAACAACTGATCTGCCACACTTGACTGGGCTTCTCTTGTAGCTTCCCCTTTTCTCTCAGTTAGCTGACACTCAGCAGGTGCACTCAGGTAACACATCTGTGGTTCTGCCCGCCTCTTATCTGCTTTCTTTCTGAATTATTGAAGACTGCAGGGTTCAGTTCCACTGGAGTGATGAAGCGTGAGTCAGCGATATACCAGCGACAGGGTTCAGGGATGGGCTGAGGTGAATGAAGCCCAGAGAGGTGCTTTAAAAACCTGGCCACATCAAATTAACAAAAAGAACAAGCAGTATTTATTTTTCTGCATTCGCATTTTCAATTCTAAGACAATTTACTCATGAAGGCATCACGTCAGAGGATTGAGACAACATAGAATTGACGATTTGCCACCTTTTAAAGCTGCTGTTAGATGTTGTCATTTTGTGGCGCTGAAACATGTATAAACAATATGAAGGGATGATAAGGAAATTGTTTTTTCCTTTAATTAATTAACTCATTTTTCCCTCCCTCCTCCAGGCGAAATTACAACAATATCCTCAAAATCATGTATGAACCTCGGTACTATGATAGCCCCCCTGTGTACAGCCCGCCTTGCAGCACCAACTCCCAAAGCTTCTATCCCCCCAGAAGCATCCAGCCCCCCCAGAGCCAGTATGCCCCCTACAATGCCCCCCCTGACTCCAACTACATTGAGGAGAAGCCTCAACACTTCTATCGCTGGTTTTCTCCTCCTGGTTTTGTCAAAACCTTCGAAGGAGCCACAGTACTCATGTGTTTCCTCATCTTCGCCTGTGTGGCTTCGACCCTGGTGTGGGACATGAATGGGTTTGGCTACGGGGGCTTCGGTGTCGGGGCTACAAGGGGGGTTGCAGGGATGGATGCGGGATATTATGGAGGCAGCTACGGCTATGGTGGCTCCTACATGACGCCACAATCTGCCAAGTCGGCGATGATTTCCATGGCGGCAATTAACTTCCTAGTTTCACTGGGCTTCCTGGTGGGGAGTTTCTCACGGTCTCGGATCATGAGGGGATGCAGGTTCTACCTCACTGTGTTCATTTGTGATATCATCTTAGCTGTCCTTCAGGTGAGTCTCACCAAATATTACAGCAGCTTATTACAAATCCAGCAGATACAAAGAAGAATTCGAAGTTGTGTTTCTGACCATTTGATGAATGTGGGTCCAATACTCTCCTTTTAGCGCTACTGTTGGTCTCCACCAGCTTCTGAGCTCAATATCTGTCTCTTCAGCTGCTAAATGCTCCACTGTGTTCAACAGCTAGTTGTTAACTGTGTCTATCTGCTGTTTAATGCTGAGCAGGTAGAATACAGTATGATTATAAGAGCTTTTTGCAGACAGCTGCTTTCTGTCTGGAAACAAAATTGATAAAAACGTAGAGAATGAAGCAAAACAATAAATTAGCAGGACAGAACATCAAAACAATGAGCTGAAAGGTGCTAAAAAGCTTAGTTGAAGTGAGGGTAATGTATACATATTATGGTTACCGTTAAGGTTATAGTTCTGTGTCGTTTCATCAAGCGATCCCTTTCCTATAACAGTCATTTACATCCATTGTTAATGTATGTAACAGTATTGATTAAGGCAGCTTTAAGTTTGTTATGTATCTTCCCCAACATCCTGTTTCAAAAGGGAAATTCATTACATTAAAGGTTCTCAGACACATTTTTGAAACTGACTGGTGAAGTGGCGATATGAACAAGCATCTTCTATGTGCATCACTGTAATGTTCAGAGAATAGTCTTTGTATTTTTTTACATGTTGCTCCATGTTAAATAAATGTGCCTTTCTTTTGACTCCAAGGGCATCATCGACATCATCTTTGTGATCGGGGTGAACCCGATGTCTCAGAGCTCACAGAGCATGCTGTACAATCCCATGCTGATGATGTGCCAGAACATCCAGGACAGCCCCAGCCTCAGCGGCAGCGCGGGGGCCGGTTTTCCAGGGGGGTTCCCCATGTACAATCAATACCTGCACCACTACTGCTACATGGACCCGGAGGAGGTTAGTGGGATCCTGCTATTTCATTCTATTCTCTTCTATTTTATTCTATGCTGATATATATGTGTCTCTCTTTCCTCAGGCCGTTGCGTTCGTGTTGGGTCTGTTGGTGGTGTTGGCCCTGTCCCTGTCTGCTTACTACGCCTACAAGACCCGCAGCAAGATTTGGCGTCACGGCAAAGCTAACATCTACTGGGACGAGCCGCTGGTCAGGTCGTCAGAGGGCCAGGATGTACAGGATTGGGTGAGTAGTGTTTTATGATTTCTTTCTTCGTGAAATATTAACAGAGGATGAATGTGGTTTGTGTTGTGTAAATGAGTGAGTTAAGATAATATACTAACTACAGTAAGTCCACTAACGACTTGTGGTTTATGTTTATTTCTATATATTCCAGCCAGATAACAAAACAAAAGCCAATATGCACACAGCATCAAGTCTCTCAGTTCTTGCTAGTGAACGTTTGGTTTTACAAACTCGCATTAACGTGCTGCTGTAGACTCAGAGAACGTTGCTGTTTATCTTTGGCACACCCAGGTATCAGTCTGACTGATCATTAACCAGACTAGTGATAATAGCTGCACAGATAAGCAACGTTATACGATTTGCTGTAAAAGAAAACAGTTCAGGAGACTCTTTCATAGTAATTTAGCTCGTGGTTAAGAGCCAGGTTTCTTGTTTTTATTTGAGCAGAGATCGTTACATGTGCTTTTCCTTTATGACCCTTTATGATCACACGTTTAAGGATCGCCTGAACCATTTGAAACCAGTCAAAGAAGGCTGTAAATGATTCACTGTGTTATTTACCAAAGAAGAAACAGTTGTTCTTAAATTAAATAAGCAGTATTTGATGAAATCGGTCTAGTAAATTCTGTGGAAGATTGAAATGAACAAGAGCTACAAATATATTGTAGTTGGCAAATTCTACTGTCAGCCATTTGCATATTAAACCAATTTTCTTTCTTGAACACAGAAACATTCAGACATTTATTAATAAACTGTCAATAGCAATGTGTACTTATTGACACCATTCTCTATATAATTGAACCAAAACATTAGAAAAGTACAATATAAAAGTTTTGATCTTAACCGTCAGCCTGAGAGATTCTTATACTGTACAAAAATTGTCTGGTATTTTGGAGTTTCATCCAACCAGAGGGCCTAAGAGACCTGCAGCAATTTGGCAGTTCACTTTGTTTTGCCTGCGGTCATGATGTGGGTTAGATACGCTTTTGTTTATGCGCTGTACACTGTTTGTACCCCACAGCTGTATCTTTGTCACATTGGATTGAGGCAGTGCATCAAAGTGGCCAAAAAAATCCTGTGGGAATTGGCAGGTGTGGCAACATAAAGAAAACTTCTCCACAGAAATACTCATAACTCACACTGTTCATTGTTCAAATACTTAGAATGACCCGTGATTGTGGGGACTTTTAATGACTTTTCTCTTCAGAAGAATTACAGCTTTGGTAGTTTATTCCAACTACGTGTCTTTGTTTTCAGAATACAGTAAAAGTTTTACATGACGGATGGATAAAGCAGAAATATCAGAGCCACTGTCCCAGACCATCAGTGCTCCAGCATTTAGCAGGTAGTCATGCTGCTGTAGCGCTCTGTGAAAGCTGTACTGTTCGCACTTCACAGCGGTAGCCTCATGTGGTATTTAGCAGTGATGAATCTAATAGAGTTCCATTGTACTATGAATGTATCATGTCCACCATGACTCGTTATGGAAAGGGAAGAAACATATTCAATCGGTTTATCCAGCGAGGCCTTGGCCTACATACTGCCTATCACTGCAAAGGGTGTAGCGAGTCACCTCATCGAGATGCAGGCCCTATTCTGGGGCACTCTTGTATTGCAGTGAAGATGCTTGCCTTGCAGGGAGGCATATATAATGTATGTGGCATGTATAATGTATAAAAAGGGTTGAGTTTCCTCAGTGTTGCTGTGTGAATCCCTACAGACTGTGGTGGCGCTAAATGATTCAGTATGCGAAGGGACTGCCGCAGATTAGACTCCTGGCAAAGAAGTCATTTCCTTGTGTTTTGTGCTTCAGTCGTACTTAACAGAACTAGGAAAAGAGTGGTGATTGAGAGAAAAAGGATAACGAGATTCATAGCAAACACAGACAAATTGTATGTTGATTGAATTTAACAGGACAGTCCAATTAATATGAGAAACCCACCCTTAAGGCGAAGAGGAGAACATAAATAGGCCTATAATTATGAAGTGATGAGGTGTCAAGTATGCAACTCTTCCCTACATATTAAATGTCCTAAAGTGGTGTATGCTGTAAAGAAATATATTTTAAAAAGCAAATAGGTCAAGTAGATCAACAGAAAAAAATGGCAGAAGCTGAAAAGTGATTAGTCTTTCAATAAGGACAACGATTGCTCATAATGGATTCTTTAAAGTGAGGATTTGTTGCTTTTTCAGTGTTAATCAGAAAAATCTCAAACTCATCACTTTGGGGTCTGGAGCTGAAACAATTAGTTGATTAATTCATTGGTTGATCACCTGAATTTTTATCAGCAACTTTTTTGTTAATCAGTGAATTGTTTGAGTTTCCAGTGCCAGCTTATTAAATGGGCTTTGGAAAAGTGTGATGCCTCTTATAAGTGAGTAATCGAGAAAATAAGCAGCAGCTTAATCTGTGATGAAAAGAGAAACTAAAACTCTCTCAGTCTGGAGTCGCCGTTCTTTGGATTTTAGCAAAAAGTGTCACTTTCACAAACATCGAATTAAAAATACTGTAATTGCACAAAGCAGCGGCTGTCACTGCACCTTGCTGCTGCAGGGTATCAGATTCCCTGCAGCTTTCTGGGCGTTCGTTTCCACGTAGAGGATCATCCTCCGGCTCCACATTCATGAGATCTATTTCACAGGCTGCATTTTCCAGACATTTGCATCAGCTCACTGGGGCCGATCCAGAAATAGGTCAAAGACTAGAAGTCATTAATGATGCATTTTACAGTATAACAGTAGATTACATGAGACATAATGCAGTTGTTGTGTTATTCTCTTTCAGAGGATGATTTCTTATGACCATGCATTTTTTGTAACAGCAGAAATGTTTGTTCCACTGATTTCACTCCTTTCTCAACCTCTCTCAGTGTGCTCATGGCGACACACACACACACACCTCCACTGCTAACATGCGTTTCATGTCAGACACAGTTCAGAAAATTGGTTTTGTGTGTTTCCGTCCAATTAACTGGTTCTGATAGTTGTTGAAAGAAAGGATTTAGGTGAGATACTGATCAGCGGGAAGGGACTTCTGCTCTCTTTTCCTTTCACTGCAGTGTGTGTTCACTGCAGGGCCAAGACTACGTGTGTGTGTGTGTGTGTGTGTGTGTGTGTGTGTGTGTGTGTGTGTGTGTGTGTGTTTGTGCGTGTTTGTATCTGTCTGGCAGTGACACAGCCTCTCTCATCTGAGTGTTGAGCGTAGCGCAGCTCTCCAGCTCTGTATTTCACTGCTTATGTGACAGATTCAGTGCAGAAAATCTTCTTTCTTTCCAGCGTACAAATGCATTTGATTTCTCCTGAGGACTTTCTCACACATATCACGTTGCTAAATTATGTTTCAGAATACTACATAATGGATATTTTCTGATTTTGTCTTGTGCATTTCCGCATGATTGGAATCAAATGAGCTGCACCGCGATGGAACAAAGTCCGACATTAAATGAATCGGTTCTGATTTCGTTTTCTCCTGATATTGTCTTATAGGTGAACCTTGTTGGAGATGTGCGCAGCACCCAGCAGGCACTAACTGCACCTGACCTGAGGGCGGAGAACAGTGTGGTCTCCTATGGCAACGGAACAGTCAGCATCTACAGTGAGGGAAATTGTAAAAGCAAAAGGTGAGTGATGGTCGCAGAGCCCCCAGGACACCGCAGCTTGATCTGTGTACAAAAAACAGGACACATGAGAAAAAAACATTTCTGTCCTGAACCTTAAAATCAACACATCTTACTTCCTGTCTGGAGTGATGCCTAATGTTTGGCTGCTCTCCAGACAGAGATAATTATAAAAAAATAAATACATTATTTTTCAGTTGAAATCATATAAATTATAGTGATCTGTTGTCTCATCGTGGTCTTCAACAAATATGTGATGATGAATCATTTTTAGGGCTATTCTCGACCAAAGAAATTCTTAGTCAAACCTCATATGATTAAATCGATTAGTTGATTTAATAGGATCACACAAATGCACCACTTTAAATATTGTTAACAAGAAATGTGCTCTGAAATTTCTAAAAAGTTTTTTTTTAAATTGCCTTATCACCAAAAGAAATTGTATTAGACTAAGACCAAAACAGCTGATTAGTCGACTAACTGACTAGAGGGGAAAGCCCTAATTGTTTTATATCAGAAGTGGAACAAGTGGCCCAAAACCAAATTAGGGGGTGTTAAATTAGATAATTAGCTGTTATGGTTTGATCAGATTGATCAGATTGTTTCCACAATGGGAGAGGGAGTTGCAATTTCAAGGAAATGTTCTGCATATTTGCAGAACATTGCTATTGTTAATGATGTTCGGTCAATTGTTGAAGTCCACAGAACAGAGCATTTTAGTTCTTCATTGTTTTTTTGTACTGTGTGTGAGATTGATAAATGAGTATAATGACAAACTGTTGAGGCTAAATTAAAATCGGTTATTCGTGAAAAATGCCATTTAGTGACACCACATATAACACCACAATTCTTTTGAAATAGAAAACAAAATGTCCACTGTTTTTTGTCATAGGTTTAATAAATGTCAAGTGAACACTCGTCATCTAGTGGTTTCATGTCCACAAACAAAGTGTATGATGAGAACTGTTCTTTATAGAGCTTCATCTGCCTGGAATATGCTTCAGTTCAGTCAAAACACTTCTTGATTTCATAAGTAATCAGCTGCATGTGGCCTGCAGCTCAATATTTGGAGAGGATAATGACGCATATCATGTTTTCAGGCTCTTAAATGGTAAATCTCCAAATATATATACATTTTATATACTATTTGCTGTTCATGACAACAAAAAGCCGATGCCAAAATCAACAACGCTTTTTTTCTTCAATATGAATTGAATTCCTGAACTTAAACTAAGTAAATCCAACATAAATGAATGCAGCTACAGGCATTCAAGCACAAATACACAATCGATCATGTGATACCTTTGTGTTGCTTCTTCATAGTTTCTTTGCTGACGACAGTAATCGTTGGGCCGCGGAGCCTTTGTACCAGAACAGCAGGGTCACAGTTTGCTCTAGCAGCTCCTCAGACGACACTGACAGCATCAGGAAACCGCCTCCTTATCATGTGGAGAAGGAACAGAGAAAGGGCCGAGGGCACAGGCCTGCTGCTCGGGAGAGGATGGAGTCCCCGTGTGAAACTGGTTACACCACCGGAGACACTGCCAATGAGCTGGACGGGGACCGCACAGATTACCTCTACAGGTGGGCCACTATACTCTGCTGCCAGTCAATACTGCAATCTTGGTGGGAAATAGGGGAAAATTGGTTTTCAATAATTCATTAAAGCAAAAAACAGGAAATACAACATGAAACACAAATGAAAAGATAAGTCATTTTTAAATGAAAAAATAAATGAAGGGAAAAAGGATAAATTATTATAGGCCTCAAGCTTTAGTTACTGTAATCCAGCTGAAAGACTTTAATTTAATTTAGTTTCACTGAAGAGCTGTACATTATCTACATGCTCATTGGCAGGAAAAGGCTATGTTGACTATTTGAAGAAAGAAAAGCCTTATTTAAACGCAAATGTAAAAATGTTATACCAATCTGAGAGGAAGCCTTACTTGGCTTGACATTTTCTTATTAATCACAATATTAATGAAGAGACTTTGTGCCCTGCCCTGAAAGAGTATTCATATTATTACAGAAGAAAATGCTGTAATACTACAAATGCTATCGAGCATCACTACCGTCTTCAAGGCAACATGGCCAACGGTTTAAATTATTTTAATTAAATACTGGTAAGAAGACTGATTTTTAAAAAAAACATCTCTTTTTGCCACACTGCCTCTATAATAGTTTACATTTAATAATCATTTGATGTTGTTATGCTAATATCCCACCCCAGGCTGTACCCAGAGATAACTTCAGACGAGCAGCGCCGGCAGTACAAGAAGGAGTTTGAATCCGACCTGGCCTGCTATAAGAGCCTCTGTGCCGAAATGGATGACATCAGTGACCAGATGCACAAGCTGAGCCGAGAACTGGACATGTTGGACGAGGACTCCGCGAAGTACCAGGTAGAGAAAAACAGGAGGCAGGAGCTCAGAGTGGCAAAACTCAGGGCCGACTGCCAGGAGACAGTCATAGCTGTGCCAATATAATAATTGTCTTATATTGTTTATGATGTAAAATCAATTCAGTGAGAGAATTTCTATTTTCAGGGTGTGGCAGACGAGTACAACCGACTGAAAGACCTGAAAAAGGTGAGTGGAATCACATCTGTGGTATCATAATGTGCGATTACGTTACTAACATACAATCGTTTGATATTTTGGAAAATATACTTATTTTGTTTCCTTTCTAAAATGGGAAGTAAAATCTAAGACACAACAAACAGCCCATTTGGCAAATAACCAGCCGTAAAACTACAGCTTGCTAGCTAGCGTGCTTTCCAAGCGCGCCGTTTATTCAGAGAGCGTTTAAAGAAACAATTCACCTCAAAATCTAAAATACATATTTTACTTCTTACCTTTAGTGCTATTCATCAATGTAGATTATTTTGGTGCGAGTTGCCTAGTTTTGGAGATATTGGCTGTAGAAATGTCTCCCTTCTCTCCAATATAACGGGACTAGATGGCACTCTGCTTGTGGTTCTCAAAGCGCCAAAGAAATGAATTAAAGGAACTCTACAGCATTGTCTCTTTCCAGAAATCATGACCTGATTACTCAAGTCTCTTGTTGTGAGCAGGTTATCCTCAGGTGAACTGTTCCTTTAACATCTGCTTGTTTCAATTTCTTTTTCTTCTAGACGTCAGATTGTCAAGCAAAGAAGAAGCAGTGCAAAGAGCTTCGGCAAAAACTTTTCCACATCAAACGTCTGGTGAAGATCTTTGACCAAGGTCTTTGTTAGTGCGTCTTTCAAATCTGTCCAAACAGCGCCGGGGTTTGACATGAAACAAGGATTGATCCTCCAGTTCCTCTCCAGTTTCACTGCTCTGCTATTTGACTTGTTGAACAGTTCGGCCCTCGAACCTAGATTAGATTTTACATTTCAATGTAAACTTGAAATTGTTTTAATTGTTACAGAAGGTTGTAGTGTGGTAAGTAATGAATGTTTTTACACAGAAATAATGTCATGAATGAAGATATGAATATAAAAGGATGGAAATAAATGAGCAGTTAAGACGGGCCGATTAATTCACATTCATGAAAACACTTATACATTGATGGTACATGTTGCAGTGTTTATTTGGCATTCTTCATACAGATGTAATTACAACACTTTTTCAAGTAGTTTGAAAAAACAAAAACAACATAACAAAAGACACATCGTCATCTTCCGATTCTTTTAATAACGTTGCCATACACAAGAAATTTCAAAAACGTAAGAACTCAGTAACACAAAGATAAGAAAACATTAATAGCATTATCTATCTTTTTTTTTTTTTTTTTCCTCGATGACAAAATTGTGTGAGTCGTTGCCTAAAGGAAGAAAATCCAAACAACTTTCAAAAGGCCCGGCGGCAGATCACGAAGCAGAGCTTCATCCTTCCACTTTGCGTTTGAAAACACTAAATGCTAAAACATGTTGTATTTGGAGTTGATTTCATTCTTTCCTATCAAATATTTTACTGTGATTTTGTAAACTCGCCTCTTGAAATACCTTCTTGAGGTAAATCCTGGTGGACCAGCGAATGTAGGGCCCTTCCCCTTTCAACTTGTCACAGATAGTGTAATGTTTTGGCATTGAATATCCTCCAAGTGCAGTTTTTCCACCAGACTTTCATCTGTTACGGTATCGTCTCACATCATTCGCAACAGTAGAGACTCACTCAGAGCATCTCTCTGTCATACCAGCTGACATGGCATGAAGATAAGCTTCTTTTTTTGACATCTAAACAGATGACAGAGGTATTTTCATGTAAATACATAGAGAAAAAAACAAAACATTTAGGAGCTAACAGTGAAAGCAATATTTAAATGTTTAAATGAACCTTGAATTACATAATGTAAAATAATGAAACAGTCTCCACTTAGCAGAGATCCAAAACAACATTTGAACATGCAAAAAGACAAAGTTGGCCTCAATATATATACATTTCAATACATTTTCCAAGAGGTCATGACCCCCAGAAACAGCAATGGTCGCCATAAACTGGTATTTAATTAGTAGTGTGTTGGTTATAAACTCTCACCACCAACTGTAACTAATTCTTACATCTTGAGTTGTTTGTTTAGTTAATGTCAGCCTGCCGTTTCTCAATAATAATAATAAAAAAATGTATCCAAACAATGCATGATAGCTGAATCCACCTTATTCAGTCAGTCAAAACTCATATTCCAAACACAAGAGTGAAAATCACTTTGGGGAATCTTTTTTAAAAAGATACTAGACGAATGTCTGTGATGCTCATTTCATATTTTATATGCGTTCCAAATTCATAATGAATAACAAGACAGTTGTCAAAAAGAAGGCGGTTTCTGGTGAACAACATTTACAGAGGTTTGTGTTTAGGAAATATCAGACTGAAGCATTCTGATGTCTACTGAGGTATTACTCCACTCATGTAACAACAGTGAGCCCTGTGAATGAATTTAAATGCATTGTTCACTTGATGGTCAGGCAGTCACAAGAGTCCGTCTGTCTCTTTGTCTCTCTGCTAATTATTCTATTTAAAAAAACATCTCCGAGGATGATATGATAGACTTTGGTGATTTTTTTTTTTTTTTTTTTTCCTTGGTTTTGTCTTCGTTCTGTTCCATGTGATTGGCTCCTTGGCTTCTTCCACAGTGCTGAGCCATGAGAGCGCTGAATTCAATGAAGCCTTTACTTTGTCTTCTATTCAGTTCACCACAATTAGATCCATTCTAATCATGCTACCGTATTGTCATGTTATCAGTCGTGTGAATAAAAAGGTCACTGTACCACAAATGTTGAGCCATGGAAAATGAGCCCGGTGTGGGGGAAAATGTTCTGCTGACTTTCAGCGGCGGGACAGTTTTGTCCTCTCGATGTTTTTGTAGCAGGGTGCTGCTGCCCTCTACATGAAACTGCAGCGTCTTTAGTCACTATGGCATGTGGGTGGTGACATGACTGGCTGTGGTGGCCATATCGGAGCCCAGCATGAAAAGCTATTCTCTGGCCGGAGACCTGGCACCAGAACGACTGGGCTGGCAACAAGACATATCCAGCCTGGCACTGGCTCCTCTCTTCACTGGAGGCCCGTGTGGAGACAGAGGGCTCGTTTCATGAGGGGGAATAGAGCGGTTACAGTACAGTACATATGACGGCCAGCTGGCACTGCAGTTTGTTAACCACACAGATGGATAGTGATGAGTCAGGAGTCACTTATCCCAGACGGAGACCTCGTCCGTAAGGGGGCTACTGTCCTGGGACGTACGGCCAGCTGATTGAGCTTCCGGAGAGCTGCATGTCACGGATCAGCGTCTCGATGGGTGTCTTTCCTACCAGGCGCATGAAAAAGAGCTGCGAGATGAGGCTGGCGGGAACGGCGCGCAGGGCGGGGAGGCGCAGGAGCAGGCGTCCGAATCGCTGAGGCTGACTCGGGTACTGCATCCTCTCGTACTCCGTCAGAGCCACCTGAGCCTTCTCCTGCAGAGACTCCACATGGACTGGGTCTGTTAGACCACAGGCATCTGAGAGAGAGGGAGGGAGGAGGCAGTTACTTAATAGTGTGGGTGGGTTACATAAAGAGTCGTGATGAGCCGAGAGGAATGTTGAAATCCCCAGCAGATAATGTGATAACATGCCCCTGAGGAGAACACATTCAAACGTGGTGCCTCAGCATGTCTACACTGTAAAAAGAAAACATTTAAAACCTATAAACCCTGATCATAGCAGTTTGTTTAAGCGCGACACATAAAAAAAACGATCAGTGACAGCAGTAAATTATACATCGCATAGTGCATTATTGCATTTTCATTAATACGCCAGGAGATGGTGCCATAGTAAGTTTTAAGATCTACGGTTTTACTGGCCTTTAATTTGGTTATTTAAGACGTCCTTTTGTGTGTTAAATTCCTATTCATTGTTGTCTATAAGAGGAGCAGCCCAGCTATTTTGATCTGTTTTGTAGTTGTAATGTCTTCTGTGGCTTTGAGGGAGCTTTGTCAAGTCTGAAAAAGTAACCCTGTTGATGACGTAATGATGTCATCAGGTCTATCTCGGCTTAGACTTGGAGTCTTTCTAAACATAAAGCTTTATGTTGAGTTTGAAAGATGTGAGTGTTTGTCGGGCAGGGGAGGTCTGATGAAAGACTCTATTGAGTTGCATTATGGGAAATGAAGGATCCAGTGTTTTTGGAGATGCTGGAGACAGAATGTCAGAATATCTCAGCCACAGCTGCACTAACTTTGACCATTGAAAAACAGAAGAACAGCAACAATCACCTGGTGAGAAGAGCGCAATGGCCTTGAGACAGCTGTACTCAGCCGAGTCCACCTGCAGCCGGGTCAGCTTGTCCACCTGGTCCTGGAACACCCTCACCTGGTCCATGAAGGACACCACACGCTCCGCAGACATGGGCGAGGAGTGGAAGCCGGCCGCGGCCAACAAGGGAGCCATGTGGAGCGGCAGGGCCGACTGGGCCGCGTTGAGGATGAACAGCTCGCTCCAGCTCAGCCTCAGCAGGGCCACCTGCGGATTTGTTAGTGTGTTAATCAGATTGACCTACACTGTCATCATCCATTATTAATGTTCACTATAGTCATTGTATATTTATGTTTTGATGTAGACAACCTATCCTGTTACCATCTGACAACAAGGGAATAACACCCAAACACTTCAAACCAGGTTTGAAATCAAAACAAATCTACTAACCTGATCTGACACAGGCAGCTCGGGGAAATAAGGGATGCTTCTGGCCCACTCCACGGTGCTGAAGAGCAGCCTGGCAGCCAGTTCACAGATGTTATCGATCCCCATGGCGTTATCCGGACTGGCCTGTTGGTTGTACTGGTGTCCAAACCGACTGCTGGGGTACGGTTCGGCACGCAGCAGCTGGGAAATGAGCTCCGACACCGGCTGACCTCCGCCGCTTCCTCCGTTGTTGTTGTTGTTGTTATAGAAGTCGGCGCCTCCAAGGCCGCTGGCGCCACCTATTGGCGTGATGGATGGGCTGAGGCTCGGCTGAGGTGGGATGCGACCGCGTTGAACTGCTGTAGTTTGGTTGGGGTACAAAGGGGAGGCGAGGAGAGGAGGAGGGGGGGGGGAAGACAGATTAGACAGAAAGGAGATGAAAGCAAAGGGGTCGTGAAGTAGATAAAAAAAGAGGAGAAAGGGGTGAAGGACAAGGGGAGGTATGGGAGGGGATTTGGAGAAGAAAACGGAGAGAATGAAAAATTAAAACTGAGTTCAGCCAGCAGTGTATGTCAGATTATCAGCAGACAGGCTCAACCTGAAACTATTCTTGAAGATTAAAGGAGGCCCAATTAAGCCAAGACTGATTCCTCAAGAGCAGCATGAAAGAGAGGAGAAATATTCTCGCGATGGTCAGGCTAGATGAAGGTTATCTACTGCATGGAAATAAAACAAAGACTCTGAGACAAGAATCCAGTCTCCATTCAAAATGTAAAATCTCTGAAATATTCAGTCTGGAGGAGAATTACAACATGCTACTGCAGAAACCTTACTATACCCCAATCTTTATGCACACCGATTTATCTTACGCTCAAAAACACCCTTTGAGAAAAGAACATCACCTAAAAATCCCCACGACCCTGACAGAGAGCGTTACTGAGAAAACCAAGGCAGCAGGGATGACTACTGATGAGAGAAACGTTCATTTGGGGATGTGAATTTATCTGGTAAGAATCTGTCCTCGAGCAAGACACTGAATCCACTCCAGCCCCAGGAATGCTGGTCTGTATCTGACCCTGACCTCTCTGTGGAGGTGGTCAAGCAGAGGCAGCATCTCTGCAGGGAGCCATAATGTGTCTCATTAGCATACCTTACGACTTGCGAGTATGAGACACACCAGATACCCTTCTATTTAAAAATCACAAACCTTCATCTATAAACTACATGATCGGTTTCTGTGCATCCATCGCCGTGACGTTGAACGACGCCTCACTACGGGCGCCATCACTTCAGGTGAAATCCCCGTATTGGATTCTGACTGATCGAACCAGCACGGCAGAGGGTTTCTGCAGCTTCAACCAGAGGCTTAATGCTCTGGGACACAGGTGTCTTAGCACTGTCTCCCTCTCAGTCACTCTCACACAGGCACTAGATTAAGCCACTTAGTACATGGCATTGAGCTGACACGCATGGCTTGCTTAGCCATGATAGGGCCAAGACGGCAGACTTTTGTTGCCATTTTCTCTGCACTATGGAGCTTGTGGAGCAGAAGAGGCAAGATAATGACAAAGGCAAATTTAACTATGATTGATTTCTTCTATCTTCTAAGAGCAGCTGATTGAAGTAATGGAACTGCTCACTGAAGACATCAATTACTTTTTTAGATCAATTCATTTGCAGCATTTTCAATATTGCACATGTACAATGACAGTGTGTCCCACAGTGTCTCCAATCCTTTTCCAAAGGGATCACAATGGTTGGCGGATTTCTGGATCGGGGTGGACAGATACCTTCTTTGCGCATGCCAACACGGAAACACTTCTTCAGTCGGCAGTACTGGCACTGGTTCCTGTGGTGCTGGTCAATCTGACACTCTCTGTTCGACCTGAGAACAGAAACATTTCATTATAGGACTATAGGTGTTGGGTTTTTAACAAATTTCTTTTGAGTTTTAGGAACTGGAATGAATGATTTTGTACTAATGCAGTGTCAGACTGTGTGATATGCTTTGCCCTTAACGAGTGGTTTCAAAAGCATCCAAACTTAATGCCAAATGTGTAACCAATCCTGCTTCACTGCTCAGTGATGCACAGTCTTCCCTTCCTATTAAAGTGCTCTTGAACATTAATATTGCATCAGATTTACCATAAGGCTGCAGGCAACATTGCCATGCTTAGAAAGCAGACGATCGTATCATTCACTGTTACTTCAGCAACGTGACTTCAGTCACATATCTCAACTGTGTACTTTAGTAGAGGCAAAACAATTAGTTGATTAATCAATAACTCAATCAACAGAAAAAAATGTTTGCAACTTTTTTGATAATTCAAAATAATCAGTTTATTTTTTCAGTCTGTTCTCAAGAAGAACACGCCTAACATTCTCTGCATCTCATTGTTTTTGATGCGACGGGCTGCTGCTTTTCTTTTCATATTTAGTTTTCAATGAAACATGTAAATTTCGGTATTTTTTTGGTCAGACAAAACAAGCCATGTGAAGATATCACCTTGGGCTCTGAGAAATTGTGACTATTTATTGACATTCCATAGACTTAAATGATATCAATTTATTGTAAAACTCATGATCATAATATACATAATGTGGAACTTAAAACTGTATGTGGAAAGTTATTAACAGTTAAAAAAGAGTCAAACAGTTACACATCTTATCTCTCTTCCATGACAACAAAAGTCTTTGTTTAACTTTTTGGATGTGGATCTGGCTCTAGATTATAGAGACATCTTTATGAATGGTTCTGTGTGTGGAAGGCTTTACAGACATACTGCAGCAAAGCTGCAATCAACAATAAACCTGCCACACATTTCACAATAATCAAGTCATTGTTTGCGCTGGAGCTATTGTTTTATCCGACAGGTTTGGCCTGTTAGCTTGCTCAAATGATCAAAATAGAAATAGAAAAATGTAATTAAAATAGAAATAGAGATTGTTTCAGCTCTATCATAGACACACCTTGTATGTTTTGTTTGCAGACATTGCTTTGTGTAACTGTAACGGTTAACGTGTCTTTATGCAATATTTACTGATGACTAGTTCGTTATTTCAATTTCAAATGGCAGAAATACATCGTGGCGTTATGAGTTTAACATTTAGACTCATCTGTACTTTGTAAGAACTACGTTCATATGGAAACATCGCAATGCATTTTAACACCTGTGTCGCTATAAATTAGGTAACATTGTTGCCTACACTTTCAGTTTTCAGCAGCATTTTTAAAAAACGATTATCAGACCACTAAACTAACTAAACAAAACAAAAAGAATCACCCACAATGCCCCTCTCACCTGCAAGTGTAGCTGAGGTTGCGTCTGACGCTCCTCTTGAAGAAGCTCTTGCAGCCCTCGCACGTGAAGACGCCGTAATGTTTCCCACTGGACTTGTCCCCGCACACCACGCAGTCCACCACGCAAGACTTGTCGTCGTCTCCGGCCTCCATGTCGCTCCCTCCCGCCTGGGGAGATCTGTCTTCTTCCTCCCCCTTCAGGTAGCTCTTGTCCCCCAGCCCGTTGGTGCCCCCATTGGGATCTCCCCAGCCCCCACTCACCATGGCCATCGCTTGGTTACCGAACCACGGCGGAGGAAACACGGACAGGCAGCCAAGATTGTCTGGCTGCTGTCAAGGTACATAAATATCAGAAAGTCCGGAGTGTGTTTGCCCTCACCTGGAGAGAGTCAGTATGTTCTGCCCTCACTTGGTAATCAAATCTTTTGAGCACACAATGTCAAAACTTGGGGGGAAAAAAGTCCTCAAGCTAAACAATGTGTCAATGGTAAAGAAAAAAGGCTCAGCATTTAAGAGGAGGGTGTTTGGCATATAAAAAAAAACAAGAGCCGATCAGTCTCCTCCCACTCCACTATGACCTGGAAACAGTCTCGGTGTGGCAACTTTTTAGTGTTGCATGCCTGTGGATTTCAATTCCCTCTTTTTGTTCTTCTTTTCTTCTCCAGCTCGTAGCCTCCGTGTGTTGTTTTGTCCTTTTTTTTTCCTTCAGACAGATTCCTGTCGAAGAAGCAGCCTTCTCGGTCGAGCGGTCTCGCCCTCCAGCCAGGGAACCTTTCACAGGAAACAATGAGTCAAACGTATGCAGCACACATTCTCCTACAAGACAGCAGCAACGGCAGAGTAGAATCGCAAGCGAATGACATGAGGTGAAAATCTCCCCCTCTCTCTCACACACACACACACACTCACTCACACACACACTCCGCTCTGTCTCTGTAGCAACAGTAATGGCTGAAGAAGGACCTCTGTGTAGCCTTAGCACATGCCTGGAAAGGCTTTGACCAGCCCTCTTAAAGCACCCCTAACACTCAATTTGTCCTCGCTCATATAAGGCAGCTGTCCACCGAAAGATTCACCCCTAAATCCCTCTAGAAATGACGTCAAGCTTACCTCGACGTCAATGTGCTGTGTGTCTATGGCTTCTCCCCCTCACCGGGAAAATAAAACCTTTTCTCGCTCTAGATCTTCCTTCCATCCAGCGAGGCAGAGAGCGCAGACACGGCTCTCCTATTCTGCTGTAATCCTGCCCGCGGCAGCAGCATTGTGACCCACAAAGAAGACATCGCACGTCACGCAAAAACAAGTTGATGTCCACACAACAACAACATCACTTTCATGTGGTCGTGCGCTTCTCCTTCTTCTTCTCCTCCTTCTTCTTCTTTGAGGCACCGCCGGCTGCAGACGAGGCGACGTGGACCTCCTGCTCTCGCCTCCAAAATGCACAAGTAGATCCTCGACACAAGGAAGTGATCTCTCTCGCTTCCCTGCTTGTTGTAGCACGAGTGCTCGGTTGTGACGATATCCTCCGCGTTGCTTCCTTCCCAAAACAACAACACAAAAAACAAAACAAAAATCAAGTAAGCAGGAGAGTGTCCGTCTGCTCAGCCCTCCATAGTCCCTGTGGTTGCTCTCCAGGCACTCATGCGGGCGTCTCTCCCCGAGCCTTTTGTCAGTGCTTGCCCACCAAGAACTAATGACTTGCGGCCTAGCCCAGTGTGCTGCTTTTCATCCGCGTGTGTGTGTGTGTGTGTGTGTGTGTGAAGCCTTTCCCTATGGCTCAGGCAAATAGGAGGTGGGGGTGGAAGGGACGGGTGCTTCTCTTCCCCCCCCCCCTCGGTCTCTCTCAGGCTTCAGAGTCCACAAATCAAATTATGATTGAAGAAAAATGGCCACAGCCGGAGACAGGCTGGATTTCTCGGCGTTTGCTTTTTTTTTTTTTTTTTTTTTTTTTTTTTTTTCTCCTTGCCCCTCTTTCCCCTTGTCTGTTTTCATCCAACCTATTTGGGTGTTGAGAGAGAGATCAAGCAATGCGAGGGAGGGAGGGAGAAGAGTGTGTGCAGAGGGGGAGGGGGCAGTGTGTGTGTGTGTGTGTGTGTGTGTGTGTGTGTGTGTGTGTGTGTGTGTGTGTGTGTGTGTGTGTGTGTGTGTGTGTGTGCTTCCAGTGATTTGACACTGCTATTCAAGCCTTGCGGTTTCCATGGTGCTGGCTGCCTTATATGGCCATTGGAGTCAAAGAGCAAAGAGAGTGGGCTGTGTGGGGCAGTAAGCACACACACACACACACACACACACACACACACACACACACACACACACACACAGGAAGGATGTGGAGGATCTCTCTCCTCAGAGACGCAGAGAGCATGACCCCAAGGCCTCAAAAAACCCTCCGACAATACCGGATTACCCCGAAGCCTTGCAACAAATACAAGCAAGCAGAGCTCCTGCCCTTTTGTCTTTTAGAAAGCAATCAAATGTGGGGGGGGGGTTTCGGCGTTGCGGTACACGTTATAAGAAGCCGTGCAAAACAGCAGAGAGCTGAGCTTTATTTCTCAAAGGGCGGTGATATCTTTCCCATTTGAATGACACACTTTGATCTCACATGTGTGAGAGCAGCCCGCCTGAGAACGGCTTATTGTGCGGGAGGTAAAGGTTACCTTCTCGTGGTCATTGCTCATTTGCTCAAGGCCCTCTGTCTCAGCGCTTTGTGGAGCACACAGTGATTTGTGTTCGAGGTTACCCCGAGAGGTCAAACCGACTTTCACACCCCTGCCACGCTAAAAAGCCCAGGGTCAAATGCAGATAAAGGGGAGGGGAGGACGCACAGCAGCCCTGGATAAGAGCTTTAGGAGATAAGTGCTGAATCTGCTTGTAAATGTGCAGCTCTTTGGGGGGGGGGGGTGTAGATATGGCGAGATGAAAGTGTCGGTCCCCTGAGAGATTCACTATATGCGACTTGTTGTCTTATCTAAAGAGCGTTTAAGGCATCCACCCCCCCCCCCCCCACACACACACACACACACACACAAACACTTATATGGCATTCCTAAATCTAAACCCAGCTTTACCCCCTGGAGAACAGAGTGTGTGTGTGTGTGTGTGTGTGTGTGTGTGTGTGTGTGTGTGTGTTAATTTGAATGAAAGTCCCTTTAATTAGGCCACTGTGCTTGCTTATTGTCACTTTTTGTGTTGGGAAAGATTAGGCTTGTCAAATAAAGGGTGCTTGTAAAAGACTGTGAGAAGATGAGATAACACAGAGCTGTTAATCAATCGTTTTGTACTGAAGACATTTTAAATTGTTCTGTTTGTTGCTTTTTGTTTGTATTTTAATAGTAGGTATCATCTCAGTCTTAATTTCACTGAAACTTTTTGAGTCAATTTTCTGATGTAATCACATACATTTTCTGATCACTGATGTCTGTGTCAAAAGCTACTCCGTTATAATGGTGGTGATGTTCACTTTGATATTTATTTCAGTCGCATTCAGTAAATTCGAGCTCCCCATTACGGACAGGCTTGCCTCATCTTGCTTTGACGCTGCTCCGGTGCTCCTGGACACTGGACTTCTTCTATGTCGTCTTACATGTAGCTTTACCCTTACTTCACCAAATTGCAGCAGAATATCGACAATTAGTCGGTAATTTACAATAAAATATAATTTGAACAGACTGAATATTTCCCTAAAGAAGAAGAACTATGATATACTATAGACTGAAAGATATGCTGCATATGCCTAACATTTCCACTTCAGGGTGTGTGTACGTGTGTGTATGTGTGTGTGTGTGTGTGTGTGTGTGTACGTGTGTCTGTGTCTGTCTGAGAGAAACCCCCGAGGGCCGGAGTGACGTGACCTTTGAACCGACAGTCGGGAATGTAGTTGCTCCCAGCGAGCAATGCAGAAATGCAAGACCGCAAATGTTGCAAAAAGATAAGATGTCTGCCAAGCTGCCAACCCAACAGATGTACAGTGTAACGCACACAGAGACAGTGTAGCAGTTTAATAGTGAGCTGCAGTTCAAAAACTCTATTTAGACCAAACATAAAAGGGTCAGGTTATGTAAAAATGTAGCCGCGTGGTGCAGTATTGGCTGCTTTGCCACACTTGGCCACTTCTCAAATTACACACACTCACATACCAGTAGTGTGTTCCCTCAAATATATATGCGATACCCCAAATGAATGAATGGATGTGTGTGAAACAGCCCAAACCCTAAGTGTATCAATGTGTTTCACAACTGAAGTCAAATTGGAACTCAGTAAACATTGTAAATATAAGTTTGACTTTGCAATCTCTAGTGTCAGGTCTTCAGTACAGCATGATGTTCATTTAGTAAATGATGGTCCCGTGTTGAGTCAAATAGACCATAAAGCAGAGTATGTTTTAGGGGCGGAGCTACATTGTGATTGACAGGTCGCTACCACAGCGTTGTCCAGTCTGTGAGTCGTCTGTGTTTTCGTCTTTCAGCTTTAACCCTTTCACTGTTTGCTTTCAGTTCGCTTTCAGTTCATGAAAGTTAATTGGACCCTTTTTGGCTTGGCTAAGAAATGTCTGATTCAGCATCCGGTTGTACTTTGCTCCACCCTCTCATGTCACATCTGGTTGCAAAAAAAACCAAGATAGCGACGGCAATAACTTCGCCATCATTTTAACTTGAGCGATTTGCTAATTTTACACAAACATAACATTCAGAAATAGATTTCAGATTGTATATAAACTTTATCCTTTCAGTTTCTTTAATAAGGTACACCAAGCTAAAGATGCAGTCTCATAAAACAGTACTGCCGACATGAAGGTTGTCGTGTTTAGCTTTGTTTCAAAGATTGAGACTTCATGGACATTTTGAAGGTCAATCTTTTGCGCCCCTCTTTTATTGTTATAACCTTAATTAAGACAGGATTTATTGCATGGCCCTTGTTTTAGACTGTATTAGTTTGAACTAGATTTACCTAATAAACTGGAAACTGAAAGGCGTGTTTCAGCTGACACCACAAAGCAGTCATGACACAAACCCTTCATCAACCCACAGTTTGTTTTAAAAAAATCTAACATCTCATACTGCAGTTCAACCCCTCGACCAAAAATAGTTTTCTGCAATTGGAATGACCGGATCAAAATCCTCCCTCTGGCTTCTTTTACTGCTGCCATTTTAAGTCTCTTCTATTTCTGGTTATCCAGGGTTACACACACCTGTTGAGTCTTCCACCACCAGCAGTGAGACTAAATAGATAAACAATTCTACTCTACAGCAGGTTCACACACATTTGTATGCACCACCATGTTTGTCCGTGTCTCTGCCAGAAGTTTTGAATTATTTCATCGTACGCCTCCAGCTCCATGCCTTGCTATACCTTTTGCTCTAAAATCAGCTCCATTCATATTTCCATTTCTAACTTCACATGTCATACATATTCATGTTCTTGTGCACACAAATATTTCATCTAAGCTAATACATTTTTCATAGATATATTTATCATTTCTTCACAATTAGAATTTTGTTTGAGTTTGGAGCAGGTTCTGCGTTTTCTAGATGACTCCACAGATATGGATTTGTTTCTTGGAAGAGACCACTCAAGTGTAATTAAACCTTTTACGGCATATAAAAAACATTTGTAGCTTAAAGTTTCTATTGTGTTTAATTGTGTGCAATGCACTTTTTTAAATCTTCAGAATTCCTATCAGTTGTCCTGTCTGTCATTATTGAATAAATCCTTTTTTTTTAGTTTTGTTGGGCTTCAAATTGTCAGACATATTTCATAATTAAGACTACAGGATGGCTCATTAAACCCCACGCTTTGGCATTTTTTCGCAGGTCCAAACACGAATCACTCAGCTATTGATTCAGTTAACATTTGAACCATTTAAGTTAACTTTTAAAGTCTGTTACAGAGGACCGTCCCATGACAAATACGACCCCGTGTCTAAAGTTAGGCCGGCCCTCTCCCTGAGGCTTCCCCAGCAACCACTGTAATTCAATCTCAGGGTGTTAGTGTGTGTGCTCTCAACCGCATCAGCATATGGAAAGTAGGTCTTTACTGAAAGTAATCATGAGGCAGCCTTCTACCCTGGGACTGCGTTTTCACCACGCTCTGATGGCTGTCAAATGTTTAGAGTTACAGTGACAGCTTCACCCTGAGACCACAGTGACCTGTGACCTTTGAGGAATGGACAAGCCTGGAAACAAAAACAGAGGCCTTTTGTGCGGGTCAAAGAGAAAACATCTGCTGGGCCGAGGACACGGAGAGAAGAGGGGGATTAACTCTCGGGGATTCATCATTGGGTCATTTTAGCCACCTCCGATTAGTGGTGCCTGATGGGAGCATGCAGAAAGCCACTGTACATCTCATTAACTACGACCCGAATCACCCTTATTGTACCCACTGATGCTCCAGCTGCCTGTTGGCTCAGCGGGAAAAATTGATTTAAAAAAAGAAGAAGATGATACATACAATATGAAGGAGAATTTCCTTGATATGAATGCTGCAGTCTCTCTTATCACATCACCACAGGAGCCACTGGTCACAGCGAGTCTTTCATTTTTAGATTGAATTGGAGCCTGAATAAATGATCTGAGAGGATTGCACATCACGGTGCCCGTTGAGAAAATCCATTTGAACAATTCTGGCTTTGATATCATCATGCATTGTCATGATAAATGAATGTCTGAATTTTCTAACCCCACTGAAGCAGGAGCGTACATAACAAAAGAAAGTATTCACTCGCTCTCTCTCAAATTGGGCACATGCAGCTTTTTAGCACCATATTGTTTATTTGTCTCTGTGTGGTGGTCGACTCGGGTATTTACCACTTCCCATCTGTGTCTCTCGGTAACTGAGACCTCTTTCTTCAGGCTAGCCATCCTGTATAGCACAAGGCTGTGATGTGATCCTTCAGAGCAAGTTACCAATTAGCCAAACATCTCTGGAGGGAAACCCCACGGTGTACTTCTTCATG